TCCTCCCCCCCGACATCCGCCCCCACAATCCCCCCAAACACATCCACGAGGTTATTCGCCGCGCTCCCGCCGGAGAAAACGACGAGATGATGGCGTCGTCGGAGTTGTTGGATGAGTTGAGGAATTTGAGATTGAGATTGAGATTGGGAGTCCATTTTTGCGTTGTGTGTATGAAAGAATTACGAGTAGTGAGTAGTGGTTCGTGGTTGTGAAGGGCGGTGTGGAAAGCCTCTACAGTAGACGAGATGTAGTGAGAGTCGTGAGAGAATTTATCCCTATGAGGAAGTGAATTCGGAGGGAGAATGGATTGATGGTTGAGTTTTATATCTCCTTCTCAGAAGATAGAAAGGAACATGAATAGGAGAGTTGTTGTTAAGCTACTCAGCCTCGACCTAAATTAGTCCGTCTGATGGTCATGAGAGGTGTCCTTTTCCTTTCTTTCCTTTCTTCCCTTCCCGGTGAATGAAGCCACCTTTTTCCAATTCCTCTCACTCGATCCCAATTCAATCTCAATTCCAAATCTCAATCCAGCGAGTGACTCACAACCTCGTATCCAACCGAAAACCGTGTCTTCTTCCCCTTTCCCCTTTCCCTCCAAATCTAAACCCAAACCTCCTCACAATCCCTCACAACTCTCCTCTCCAACCCAAAAACCCAACCAGAATCACCCAAATCCCAATAATTTACGTACTCACTGCAGCTCACTCTCAACTCCCAACCCCAAAACCCCCACGGTCAAACTACGGCACATCACGTAACACAGGCTCCCAAACCACCCCAACCTTGAACCACCCGACCCCAAGCTCCCCCAAGCCTCCCGCCCAGCCCTAACACACAAGGACAAGGCCCTGCGATCAGATCACGTTTTTCCGTCACCTCAACTGAACCTTACCTCTGTGTGTTTATCGAACCCAGCCCAGCCAGAAAGCTTGGTATAACGCTTCTATTATTAATTGCGATACGGAGTAAATTTACGGAGGGACGGCGAAGACGATTGATACTTCGTATAGTGAGCATAATTTTGGGCGTTGAAGAATATGAGTTATGACCGGAGGGGTGGTTTATGAGAGTTATCACGTTTCCGAACTGGGAGTTTTATTAGGTAGGTACTGTACTGTACTCCTCCGTAGTACCGTACTAGTGAGGCGTAAATTTACACCTCCCCTCCCTCAGTGTACGCCGCCTGTGCCTGTGCCTGTGCCTGTGCGGCGGGAGTTCGTACTTGAGCAAGAACCTTCCTCCAACGTCCATCCCACAACTACCGGTTTCTAACCTCCAATTCCCACCTCACCACACCACATCCCATACATCTCATACATCCCATACAACTCCCCCTCCTCCTCTTCCCCTCACGCCCTGCGTAAAACCTCTCACATCCATCACCCCATCTCTATCGCTCAGATTATGATATTCCCCATCGCTCATACCGCCCACGAGCCTTTCTCCCCCCTTCCACCACCGGAGATTACCACGCCCACGCCTGCCCGCCCCAGCCCGCCGCACCCACACTACTTACTCATCTTTCCTTCTCGAAAAAAAGAAGAAAGGAAAAAAAGAGAATCGCGGGGAAAGACACGCCTCTGAGAGATGCCATCGGCGTTTAGATTCTGTCTGAGTGTCTCCGGTCGTTGGTCAGGGGACGACGGTATGGATCGTACACGACCGGATTCGTCGGGGATGATTTTGGAATCTTGGATTCTTGGAATCCGATTATCTGGGCCATCCGATGTGATGATAATAATACATACACACACAACAGAACTCGATCCTCCCTCAACCATCAAACTAACAAATCAAGCCAAAAAGAAAATCAATAGCAGACTTCAAATCACAAAACTAATACGCATGGAAGAACCCCCGGTTGTCGGGTTGAACATTTATAGAAACAGCAATGCGACGTCCGCAATACGAGCTGGGTGAATTTATGAAAAAAGATTTGCCCGCCAATAACAAACAATTAAAATAGCGACGTAAGCAGAGAACATCGCCACATTCTCGTAGTGTCACACAAGGCGCCTATGAACCGAATTGAGATTTGTATTATTTGATGTATTGTTTCATCTACAAATCATTCGTCTGTCGCCTCAAATCCCCGCAATCGTCATCAAAAAAAATTGTAAAATCCACGGTTCGAATCGAGTCGACCATACAAACAACGCTCTGCTCTGCCCTCCTCTGCTGCATTCGATCCGTTCCTTCTCTCCAAAACTCTCCCACTGACTTTGGGTATCTTTATATGTACTAGAGAAAAAAAGAGTGAGTTGGGAAAAAACACAAGACGCTAGCAAGAATTTCAATCCCATCCCTTTGGTAGTTTCTGTTTGGTATGCCATTGCACACAACCCCCGCCCATACGCCGTTCACATAAGTCTCTCGCAAGAACAAAAAAACAAAAAAAACGCCTCCGTTGGTATCTTCCATGCATGGTTGAGAAAATAACAAACCCAATCAAAAATTTCGAGAAAGACCAAAACATTATAAAAACTCTTTCTTCAAAATTATCAATCTTGCGTTGCGTTGAGGAATCGAGGGCGTCAGCGGGGCTTCCACCCAATTACCGACCATTCGTGATACAATACAAGGGGTGCGAATAATCAAAAGATGGTGTGGGAAAATCATCGAAATTGCAGTTGCTCAGAAAATCAACAGGCCGCCAAAGCTCAGTCCCATCAGCATGAAAGTAGACATCAACAAAGAGTTTGTAGATGCCACCCTTGAGCCTGCACTCTTCTTGTAGACAACCTGGTTGGCGGATTGCGAAGGATCGTCGCTGAAGAAAAATGTGTTGGCGGCAGTTGTATTACCAACGGCAACGGATGGATCCGGCAAAGAGTTTTGTTCGGGGATGGGGCAAATTGCTCCCGCTGCAGCCGGATCCTTGCATCTTTTTGTATAACTACTCTGACGGTCGGGTGATGAGGAATTGAAGTATGACTTGACGTAGCCCACCGACATGGTGGCATTGGATACAGGGGGTCCGGCCGACCAAAGAGGATTGCCATTGCTCCAGTGGGTAAGAATCAAATGGCCAGGCTCGAATGGAGTAGAGCTAGATGTGTTGAAGTTGGCCAAAACGGTTCCATCAGCATAGAAGAGAATGTGACCGGGGACGTAATCGAATCGGTACTCGTGGAAACCAGTGGTTGGGTTGAAAGGGAGGTTTGCGACGACATAGCTGTCGGTGCCTGCAGCATTAAATCCATTCTTGGCGGATTTTTCTGATTGCAACACAAGGTTGACAGGGAATGAGCCGTTGTCTGCGTTAAACTGGGAGGACAAGAACTCCATATCGATTTCCTGACTGTTGTTGAAGTACTAGGTTAGGTATCAGCGAGGGTGTCCATCCACAAGGAGTGTTTTTTTGGTAAGCATACCCAAAAGAAGGCCGCGCATGTTCCCGCAACTGGAGAGAGCTTGATTGAGGCACGGTAGGAACCCCATATCAGATCAGTGCGGTTGGAGACAATTTGAGAGGTTTTGACGTAGTTGTCTGCTGGAATACCGCCTTCAACCTCAAGTCGCATTCCTGGATCACCACCAAATTTGCCTGGGCCAGTCCAATTGGCGTGGTCGGGAATTGGGTTGGAAAAGGTTTGTCCAAGGGTATAGTTGATTCCTAAGCACCGATCTGTTAGTATATACCGGGGCACACACAGGACGGCGATGAGATTGAAAGTTTCCCCTACATACCATGAGGACCACGGCCCGCCTCTGGAGTTTGATTGAAGCGCTGTCTAACCCAATCAGTATCTTTGGTGACATCGTTGATGTGAAAAAAGTCTGATTCTATAATGTCTGTGAATACGTAGGTCGAAGGCTGGGCGGTCTTGACGGTGGCCGTATAGCCACATTCACAGGCTCCGAGAACGGGCGAGACCACAAAAGCTAACCAGGCGAGAAGCAAAGAGAGAATGGGCGTGGATGGCCGCTGTGTTACCGCCATGTTGCGCATCTTAGGAGTAAGATAATTGGTGGGTAGGATCTCAGTCAGTGGTGTTGTGGTGTGGTGTGGTGTTGGTCGTGGGGGTGGAAGGGTGTTAAGTCCCAAGCGACTTTGACCTCAACCAAGTTCCTTGCTTGACCTTCCTGTACCTGTTTACCCGTTGACGTCGCCCGATGTGGTTTTTTGTGGGAATGAATGAGTGTAATTTGGCCTCGTCGTTAGGACAATCAGGATGTTCGGGTACGACTTGACTGGGGACGGCACAACGAAAATGAGTGTGGTGTCTTGTCGACTCTCCTGGTCCGTAACGAAGGGTTGAAGTTTGGAATGTGGATGAAGGAAGGTTTTTGATGTGAGCAGGTGAAGGAGAGTGAGAGTCCGTACGGAGTAAAGTTACGGTGCAGAGTGGAGCTGATGCCTGACTGCCTATAGGCCAAGGTTTGGCTTTCCGTGTAGAGGCAGGTGGATGGGATTGTGGGTCGCGTGCTTTGATGGGGAAAGAGTGCAGGCACTGCAGACACTGCAGACACTGCAGACACCGCAGGGCAACTGGGCAGTCGCCCCTCCGTCTTCGTGGCCTTGGCAGGGGAATCCCAAGCGAGCTAGTGTTGCTCGTTGGTGAAGCACTGAAGCACCTAAAGCTTGGTCAAGTTGCGGAGGTAAATATACAAACCTCTCCGTGATCATCCAGCTGTTTTTAGAAGTTGATAGTCATCTGAGGCCATCCCAGTGCGGATGATGCTGATCTGATCGGATGAACGGCGATAGTGCTGCTACCATGTTGTCTTCTTACAACTACTTCTACATCTCCGTACCTGCCACCATTCACTTTGGCCCGACTTCAGTGCTACCATCTTACGTCCCACCACTTTTCCGCTCTCCAAAGGACTTTGATGAGCTCCACTCAGTGACCAGTGGAGAGAATTTCTGATCTCCAACGGTCTTGTCCCCCACCAACGCCTCAAAGTAACCTCAGAGGCGAGTTGTGTCACTTAGAAGTACGAGGAAGAGGGAACCAATCAGAAGAAAATCGATGGACGTGCGGCTCTTCTAGAAATTGAAAGGGACCAGAAATACGGTCGTAATGCATGTCTGGAGATTTGAGGTTGCTTCCAAACGAGAGCACAGGTATTTTCTGCCTCCGAGCTCTCCAGATAAATAGCGCCCATCGTATTCTCAACTGGCCATCAATATTGCCAGCATGGCATCAAGGAACTCGCTCTGTTGATTAGCTCCGGGATTCTTCACCAATTCCGCTACTCCCCGCAAATGACTGGTAAGTCCGTGGAACAATCATTTCCTACCAGACCATGTTGGCCTGATGTCATGACGGTACGGGCATGCTGACAGAAGCAGGATGAGGATGGCTGTTTGCTGTCAGATAGAAGTATAAGCATTCTACCCTATTGGCACAACGACTTCTACCCGGCCTTAGAAGTACTTCGAAGTAGATGCACCAATTCTCACAAACCAAATACTTTGTAAATTTGGAAAGTGTCAAAAATTCCATGATACCAATTGGTCCATTGCTGACCCTTCACCAAGTGGCAACACACTATGCTCAATTTTAAAGAAAAAGCTTGGCTCACGCAAGATCAAAAGCCAAGAGCACCCTGACTGGCTGCCCAATCACGGCTTTCCAGTGCCTGGATAAATATTCAGTCAAGACTTTTAGCGAGCTCCCCTCGCTCCCTTCCCAAGCACCGCGCCACTCCCGTCCCGACCGAACCTCGCATGGCTTGACATTGTCATGTGCAGACAACAAAAACTAGCTGCAATTTGCATATCTAGCGGTCTACTCGAGTACTCGAGTATTATTGAGTCCTCGTTTGCCCAAGGTCACCTGTTCTCGACTTCCCTGCGTCTGCGGGATCTGTCGGTAGCCTTGGCAAGCAGGCCTACATTGCATCTTCAGGGGAAATCTCCCGACTGTATCTGGCCGTGACCGATCCTGACGCGCCTGATGTGCAAAACAGGGGACCACTGGGACCTCGATGTACTGAAACCCCCCGGGAGACATTGGAAGCCACAGTCGGGATGGACAAGCCCATGCAGCCACGTTGTGGGGTAGAGTTGCTGTGGCTTCACTTTATTTAGAGTTGATCTACTGTTCGCCGCCCCGTCTACTTGAGGGGATGATCTCGCATATCAAACCAGATGCTGACACTGAAGATAGCGAAAAAGTCATCGGTTGGACGCGACCGGCTAACCCGATGCTAATCGACCCCACCCAGACAATACGAAAGGAGAATTATGAAACTATTTTCAAATCCTCTCCTCCCTGCATTAGTCTACTTTCCAAGACAAAGAATCATCAGCTGGTCTTTGAGTACAAATGCGCGTGGTGGGAAGGCAGTCAATTGACTTCATCTCAACCATGGAATTTATACCAGATGCGAGATCCGAATTCAAGCATAGCATTCATACTAAATTCGATATCCGAATTTCAAACACCATGAAGAATCCTTCTTTTCCCTCTCAAAACGCCTGCATGGTCAATGGCAATGCGATACAAAAGAAGCCAGGCAGAATAAGAACCCGCAATAATAGCAGAAACATCAAGATAGCGTCAAGGATCTCAATTACCAACGGATAAGTATTTCGAAGTAAAACGAAGTTTCTAGTCGCGAACAAGGTGACGAAGCACGATCGTGAAGCTTTATCGGCCCTGGCCTGGACCCTTGGTTGATTTCCTTCCCCCAAACATATCCGGGGAAACGGCGTATTGTATGCTCGGGACAAGAGGCCAATAATAGCCACTGGCTATATTGGGATACCACGCCTATGAGCTCTCACAAATTCGGAGTATAATTGACCCCGTTCCCGTCCTTATTGCGGTGCTATCCGGTACGTCTACAATACACATTGCCAACTCTGATTTCCTTTCTGGGAGATAAAGATGGCGAGGAATTGGACGTTAACATTCCGAATACACACTCCGGGCTCTCTCACCCCAAAATTGTCTGTCCATGTCGCAAGAATTTCCAGCATAGAGTGAAGGTTCACCAGACCAGTGTGCCAATACAAAATGTAGGAGGGCAACTCTGGAATTTGACGGTAACTGTTGCAAAGATACAGTCAAATCTTCCAGTACACGGCAACACAACCACAATGGCCAAAATTTTGTCGCAACGCATGCAGCCAATTTAACTCCTCGAGGTTCTTCCACTTGGTAGAACATACCATTGCGAAGGTAAATTTACCAGTTTCCAAGAAGAATCCGCGAATGGTCTTTTTTTGAAGCGGATACCGGTCCGCAGGGAAAAGTGGCCAGCCCCTCCTGTCTTTACACCACATTGTTTTTCTTCAAAAGCGTACTTTCATTTACTGTAGATCCAGCTCCTCATTTCTGTTTTGCAGGACTAATTCAAGCCCGAGTTTGAGGGCGAGTAAAAGTCGCACCCATCTGTCCTCGAGTCAGCTAAGCACCCCCAAAAAATAGATGGATCACGTGGGGATTGAACTTCTCCAGCTTTTCCATTGTATCGCAGAATAACACGCTCGCCAACCATTCCCTTCCACCCATCAATTCCCTCTTCCTCCATCTCCTCATTGCGCCGTTTTCAAGAATGTATATAGTAAACATTCCAAGAAAGAAATGAAAAAGTAAGTGAACAGGTCACGACCACCGGCCTGATTATGTAGCGATCGCGTCTAGTTGTCAGCATTTTGCGGCGTAGCAGACAATCAATATATGTAGGTTGGGTTAAATAGAGTAGGTGGGATTGGCTCGTGGCCTTATTGGTGAAAATCTTTACGGTGAAGGTAAAGGTGTTTTGTAGATGAATTTTACTTTACTCTTCTTTATTCGAGTGAGAGAGCTGGACTTCAGCTCTGGGAAATACTGAATTTTTGGGGTAACGCTGTGGAAGGATGGGATGAGTTTCACCGGGGTTTGTACGCATGCAGGTATTACTGAGAAGTAGACTCATCCTGACGTTGATCTTGAGACTACGGCTTCTTGGATCACTATTAGCGCTGTATCAGCTAGGGAATATAAGTTTTGAAGTTGAAAGGGAAGTCACGACTCCCAGAACGTCGTCTTTACTCGAGTAACTCCCAAACTACCTAATACCTATGAGTAAGTACCTCTATCCGACATAATAGACCCAGCCTCCTTCAAAAGCCCTTTGATTCTTCTCTTTTCCTCCTCGGGATTCTTGGATTCCTGATGTGCTTTTACGAAATGCAAACGAGACTCTTGAGTTGGACTACCATGAAAGCGTCAGCGCGTCGCTCCTTCTCCGCATCTTTTCATGGAACAATGAATACCAGGAGTCTAACATGTAGCATCTGGGATCTCGAGCCCTGGGCTGGAATATCTTGGTGGATATTTAACTACCCCTTCCTTTGTCGCTTGCTTCCGTGGGTAGGTAGGTACAGGTGCCTTCGTATCTGGATACCGAGGATGTTTAATGTGATGTGACGATGAGGAAATATTAACTAAGGAGAGCGCGATTAGGAGCTTTGGGTTGTCTGGTGTTGACTTGTAAGTACATGAGTACAGGGAGGAGAGAGGAGAGCGAGGGGATGTGTAATGATCTTGTGGTGTTTGTGATAGATGAGTGGGTTGTTACTTCTTAGTAGATAGTAGGTACAGTAGATGGCGGGTGTTGGGTAGGATGTTGGTGGGTAGGCGTAGTAAGTTGAGTAACTGGGTAAAGGGGGGTTGTTGGAGGGACTTTATTAGTAGTTGTCTTTGGTTAGTGGTTGTGAGTATCTAGGTCGATTGGTGGAATGAATGGTTTTTTGTGGATTTGTTTTTGTAGAGGGCTGGACTTTGGTTGGTTTGTTGTTTGAGAGGTGGAGTGGGTAGGGTGGGTGGATGGGATAGTGAGTGGTTTGTGATGACGTTTTTTTCTTTCAACGGGTTCGAAATAGGGGTTGTGAATCATGTAGAGGGGTTGCATGGAAGTGAGTGGTGTTGTTTTGGTGAGAAGGTACTTTTTATAGTGTTTAAATACGGAAGGATTTGGTGATTTGGGGTGATGAGTTTACATTGAGTTTGTACTTTTGGGGGTGTTTTCCGTCCTTCAGAAAAGATTTAGGTCATGTTCGATTGAATACTTGGGTACTGAGATGGGCGATTTGAGGGGTAGACTGTGGGCTAAAGAAAAGGAGAAGGAGAAGTCATGTTATATATATATGTGTGTATAGTTCCTAGTCGAGGTTTTTAAGAAGATGGATATGGCTAGGAACGACCCACTTACTATGGATGTGGTGGTGATTTTGCTTGATTCATTGTTTGAAAACTAAAGCATTTCGATAGATCATGTTCACTAAGTGTGTTCACAAAGTGTGTTCGCAAACTTGAACGAAACACTGCCTCGCTTAACTTTAACACTATTGACGCCATATTCCAGAGCTAAGCGAGGAGCAAACACAGCGTTTAGAATTAATTTTACATCTGGAACCATTTACCTACTAGCCCTGGCACTTATGATTAAATACCTCGAATATTTTTTTTATTATCCTACATTTTCACAGTCGCATTACTTCCGCTACCACCACCGATTTTCGCTCCCCCATGGGCATCAAACCAATCCAGAAATTGGAACATACTAGCCTTAGGAATGCGTTCCATACTAGTCTGATTCAAATACTGAAGACCGAACTTAACCTGCGATCCCTGGAACCATTCGAAGTTATCGAAGATGGACCATGCGAAGATACCGGTTACGTTGACACCTATTTCCTATTAACAAGTATCCCATGCATAATGAAGGGGGGGGAAACAGAAGAAAAGGAGGAAAAAAAGAACGAAGAGAAGGACAAACCATCAATATTCCTCGCCAACAAAATATTATCCAAGAACCCCCTATAATAATCCGCCCGTCTCAAATCCCAAACAATATTCGCTATCTTAGTCTGCACCCCCTCAAACGGCTCCGCAAACCCAAACTCGCTAACCACCACATCGCCCACCGTTGGGAACAAATCCTTCGTAATCGTATTCAGGAATTTCCTCACACCGGTGGGGGTAGAATACAACCAACCCATCTCGTTATCCGCCGATGGACCAAGAGGGAAGCCATCAGCAGCAAGCGACGAGGAGCCAGCGCATTCGGGAAAATTCGGATCCTTCCGGTTCGCCATACAGGCTGCAACGCTGTTACTTACGGGTGTCGCGAGGAAGGATGTATACGGATCGATGGCGAAGAAATCACAGGATCCCTTTATCATCTCCTTTTCCTCCTGCGTGAACTCTGGAAGCAGATCGCCGAGTGTCTCTTTCAGCATAGGCGAGTAATCTCCATCCCGCCAACAACCGTTGAACCATCCCAGCGCGAACTCGTAATTCCGCGCCACGGCCTCTTTGTCTGCAGATGAGGAGGTGTCGTTCGCTTCGTAGTAGTTTCCTGAGTTTTTGAAGGTTATTCGGCCAGAACCTTGGAAGTCTTCGTGGTACCATTTTGCGACTTTGGCGTGGGCTAGGATGGTGTAGTGAGAGCAGGCTATTCGAGCTGAGAGACCGGATGTTATGTTGTTGTAGGAGGGATAGATGCCCTTTGAGCTTCCGGCGGGATAGAGGGAGTATTGCCAATTACAGTATTGTGCTTGGAACTGTCAGTTTACCCTTACTATATTTATTGCGAGAGGATGGACTCACGCTCGTTGAAAGTGTACCATATTGGAACGTATTTGTCATATCTTGTAATAACAAATTTGGCGTAGTTAAAGAAGGCATCTACGATTCTTTCGTCTGTCCAAGCACCGTAAGAGTTGAAAAGCGCGAGCGGGGTGTCTGTTGCGATCTCAGTATTTCTATCTACCAGAAATTTTGGGAATCTGACCCCAATGGAATAGAGTCACAGCTGGCTTTATTCCATACTCAATCATACTGTCAATAACATCATCATAATGTTTGACCCCCTCCTCATTAACAGGGCCATCCCCAAATGGAAAAAACCGCGGCCTAATGAAATAATCAGCAAACAATCATACGTACTTAAATTACCCACACCGCACTCCAGAGAACACCTACCAAGCAAATGACGGCGAAAAATAAGGAATCCCCAATTTTGCCATCCGCTCAAAATCCTGCTTGTAGAGATAGTAATGACTTCCGACCACATCTCCAGTCGAATTATCAGACACAGATCCGTAGCTACGATGTGCGAGTAAGTCCCAAATCGATGGTCCTTTTCCTTCGTCTTTGGCTGCTCCTTCGATTTGGTATGCGCTTGCGGAGACTCCCCAAATGAAATCATCGGGGAGTTTTGCGTCTGCTACGGAGAGGTCGGAGGATGGTATCTATGGTATTGCATTTTGGGTAAGAATGGGTCTTTGGTTATGTGTTACAGTAGGAGCGAGGAATTGGAGATTTTTTACCAGTGGATGAAATAGTCCAGGTCTGGCAAATGGAACAGAATCTGGTGTTGGAACCACCGTCGCTGTAATAGGTCCAATTTCTATCTTCCCAACTTGATTCCAGAGCATTGCCAATTCCTCATTCGTGTAGGAATAACTTATCGTCGCTGTTGCTGCTGAGGCATTGCAAAGTTTCATTACATATCCATCTTGCTGAGCATATGTAGGCGTTGCAGCAGGAGCAGTCATGTTTTGCACGACTGCCATAACACCCGAGAGTAACAACGAGAAACTAATAAGGCAAGACATGTTGGAGGGAGCGCAATCCCAACTCAGGATTGACACGGAAAGACAGGAAAGTTATGTACGTAAAGCTTGGGGTAAACATCTTTATACCAAACATTAATTGGTGAGACGAACGGCTGCAAGGAATGGGATTCCCGACCCGGGTAATTAGGATATGGAGGGAACTTTATGACGAAAATATGGTATTCAAGGTATGCAAATGGTAGTTTTGGATGAGGGTAGCATGGGTCCTGCATGGTGTAACACTGCAGAGATGAAGATCTCGGGGGAAGCTCCTCCGTGATAAATGGCAGACATAGCACCTAAATTATTGCAAACCAAGTAATCCTACTCCGATCAATAAACCAAAATCGAACCAAGGAAATGAAGAAATACACTCCATCAGAACTCACCAATATAGTATCAAAGTTGAAAAATCTGGGGCTTCCCCGCACTTGTACAAGCGAACCCCGCGTTCAAGTATCTTGACTTTGCAAGGGTATAAGCGAGAGTTTTTCCATTTTTCCATTTTTCCGTATGCAGTAGTGGTACTTTGATCCTAGGAGAGGTGGTACATTCGGATGTGATGGCCGTGAAAAGTGGGATGAGGCTCTCACTAAAATTTTCGAGAGTATAAATAGTTTCCCTTCACAGATCTAGATACAGTTTGGTACAACTGATATCAAAGCAGTGTGCGAATCAGTCTAGCATTATTACAAATACAAGGAGATGTGGAGAGCAAACAGAATTTCGGAGAAATGGCGGTCTCTATATGAGGGGACGGGAATGAGATGGGATTGTTTACATTTGAATAGGACTTGAAGGGTATAAAGTGAAACTGGCAGTTCAATGAGAGCGGCCTATATGTAAGTGTCGTGATAAAGTACCCGTATGATAAAACGTGACCTAGAATCACACTTTTCTCATTTTACTCCCGTCCTTTTCCTCCAAAGTGGTACTAGGTAATCTCAACCTGATATCAACTAGCTCAACCGAAAGTCGGGGACCCCGCATTCATCCCCACACATAGATTTATAACACAGTGAACTCGATCTCCTTCTCACGTTCTTCTGGTGAATCTTTATCCTGATTCCTGACAATTCAGAGCAGTCACCTTACCAGGGCGGTTAAGACCTCTTGCACTGTGACTTGCCCAGAACTGGATGCTGCCATGCTGGCGCTCATCGAATGTGACTATCTTCTGGGCTACAGCCGCGGCGCATATCAAACTGCTTGTCTCATTTTCATCGTGGCCCAGAAAGATGATGGTTGGATGTAAATACAGAAACAAAACACACGCCGCTATCGCACTCAACCTTGATCGGGCAAATCACGGCCCCAGGATTGCGGGGTTTCCGTCAACCCCAGATTATTGTTTCCCTCCAACCAATCGGAAAGCAGAATTGGTACTTTCGGAGCACGGCCGAAATGGAAGCGAATAAAAAAGCTTTGCAAGAGCCACTGCCATGTCATACCCTGTTCGGAAAAAGACTCTGCCCCACGACGATGTGGGGAATTAGTGTGGGGAATTAGCTTCACTTTCAGGTTCTTGGTGACTCGTGAGGACCTTGAGACTGGCGGTCCATGACTTGAACGGGCAGAAAAATTCAGATACTTATTGCTCATTCCTCGACGATGGGCTCGACAACCCTTTTCAACTCTCGAAATCTAGCAGAGAACCCCGTGGAATTATCTGGGGTTCCGTCTTATTGATTGTTTCTAAGCGACTTGGATATTCCCAAAAATGGGTTTCTTCACAAAAGTTGAGGATCGGCCGACACCGGCGAGTGTCTACAATTGGCGTGTGTATGCTATTGCAGCCGTCGCTGGTTCCGCCGCTGTCATGATCGGCTACGATAGGTATGTTTTCCAAATCAATGGAGTTTTTTCAGTATTCTTCGTTAACGCCAAATCGACAGTGCTTTCATCGGCGGCACAATTGCTCTCCCATCTTTCCAACGGGAATTTGAGTTCGCAAAGCTCTCAAAACCCAAAGTTGATTTGCTAAACGCCAACATCGTCTCCTGTTACCAAGCAGGTGCTTTCTTTGGAGCTCTTGGTGCATATGCAGCTGCCTTTTCACTTGGTAGAGCCCGTGGGCTCGCTCTCTTCAGTGCTATCTTCGTTCTTGGTTCCGGATTGATGCTTGGTGCAAATCGAGAGCGTGGACTTGCCCTGATGTACGTCGGTCGTGCACTGGCAGGTATTGGAGTTGGTGGGTGTAGTAATATCGCACCTATTTACATTTCCGAGATTAGCCCTCCAGCCATCAGAGGTGCATTGGTATGCCTGTTTGAATTGGGATGGCAAATCGGTGGTCTAGTCGGTTTCTGGATCAATTATGGAATTGCAGAAACTCTCCCTTCGAACAAAGCTCAATGGTTGATACCATTTGCCGTTCAACTTATTCCCTCTGGTCTTTTGTTTGCGGGTAGCTTCTGGCTTCACGAGTCGCCTAGATATCTGATGTCCAAGGGAAAGCGTGAGCAAGCTATCAAGAACCTCTGCTGGATTCGACAACTTGATGACGACCATGTCTATATTAAAGAGGAGATGTACGCAATTGACCAAAATATCGAACGTCAAATGATTGATGGTGGCATGGGCTTCTGGCAGCCATTCAAGCTTTTGGCTACTAGCAAACGCATCCAATGGCGATTCTTCCTCGGAGGTTCTCTCTTTTTCTGGCAAAATACTTCTGGGATCAACGCTATTAACTATTACTCACCCACCGTCTTCAGGAGTATTGGCATCGTCGGGACTAATACTGGCCTTTTCACAACCGGTCTCTTTGGTGTCGTAAAGACAGTTTTCACTCTCATCTATCTCTTCTTCCTTGTTGATTCTTTTGGACGAAGAAGATTGTTGATGATTGGTGCTATCGGCGGCTCTCTATGTCTATGGTACGTTGGGGGATACATCGCAATCGCTAAACCCTCCCAAAATTCAAATGCCAAACTCTCAAGCGGCGGCATTTCAGCAGTTTTCTTCTTCTACTTGTGGACAGTAAGTTTTTCCCATTCATGCTCACCACTTGGAGACTACTAACAGCCCCAGGCATTTTACTCTCCAACCTGGAACCCCACACCTTGGGTTCTCAACTCAGAGATGTTCGACTCCAACGTTCGAGGTCTGGGTCTCGCATTCGCAGCAGCCAACAACTGGCTCTGGAACTTCATTGTTGCGCGTTTCACGCCGCAGATGTTTACCGCTATGGGATATGGAGTTTACTTCTTTTTCGCGGCTTTGATGATCCTTTCTGCTATCTTCGTATACTTCCTTATTCCCGAGACGAAGAACATTCCCCTGGAAGCTATTGATAGGCTATTTGAGATGAAATTGAAGGCGAGCGAGGCACATGAGATTGTGTGGAGAGAATTGGAAGAGGAGGAGGAGGCGCTGAGAGCGGGAATTGAGGGGGGCTTAGAGAAGGAGATGGGTGTTAGGGTTGAGGTTGCGTAATTGTAAGGCCTCTTATGGAGGTCAGAAGACAACGGAATGGTAGAGGTTGTTTATGAAGGTTCTGACATGACCCTCGTGGGATAGCCAGGAAATGATCGGATACACGAATTTACGGAAAACTTTATACATTAATCACGATCGTGCCCACCAGTATCAGCCGATAAGTTCAGGTCTGTTAATAATCGGAATATAGAATATGTATTTCATTCATCGTGTAAGACACTACTTACCCCTTTGCTTCTACCACTCTATTTAGCGAAGTACCAAGTCGCTTGACATCAACCCAAGGCTTCTCGATGCCGCCAATGCCACCCGTTCCCATTTCATAATCCCATTTACCTCAAAGTCTTGCTGGAACGTGTTGATTGACTCCATTATCTGAGGTGCCCACAAGTTCAAGGACCGATAAAGTGGAATAAACATATAAAATTGCTTGAATAGTACTATAGGTATAGTAAGCTAGTTGGGCGAAACTCCGCACATACCCTAAGAACCTATTATACTAGAATTTCCAAAACAAGCAACTTAACTGTCCCAAATGACTTGGATCAAAGAAGATATGTTACTTGAAATTATCCTAAATGGCTCGTATGATAAGTTTAGTTATATGAGGCTTTAGAATAATATTATATTCTAACCTGGGTACGTCCAGATTTTCACCTAACTGTCTTGCAGTCAGTCTCCCTTGTGTTATTCTCGGAAAAGGGGCATTTTCAAAAGAATAACGAGGGTATTTTGCAAAAAAAAAAAACCTTAGCCCTCTGTGACCTACTGTCTAGCCGAAACTTCCAATTGGAAGACTGCATTGTCGGTTCATCGACCTTTTATATACCTGAGTCAAGTTCAGAGACTTGGTCCACTCAAGCCTTTTCCCGAAACAGCGTGAGAGATTCTATATATAGAGAACAAGTAAAAGCTAGTTTAATTTTTGATTCCTTGTCGGAGATAGCCCCTGTGTTATAAACAAAGACGTTGCTAGCTAATACGAACCCGTTTACGAACTCGAGGTTTAACCTCTAGGGTTTAGCTCCTACTATGTATTAGCCGATATCATGTAACCAAATTCTAACACAGAATAAGAACTTAGGCTGAATACTAAGCTTGGTCTCAAACTCTCAATCTTAAGATAATATTGGGATATTTCTTACTGGGGATGGAGGAGGGAGGGGGGATACGATATTTAGTAGAATCGCTGAAGAGCTTGGAGATCTTGGTTGATTACCACTAAAGTCGGGCTACTGATATTATGGGATGTGGGATCATTGAGTGTCGAAGAAAACAGTTGCGATGTTGATTATCATGGCTTGTTGCAATGTTCTGATCAATAAGGGATCATTATGGGACTTTACCTTGTCTAATAACAAACATGCGTACGACGCATACTATGATTTGTTTCATCAAAACTTCTTGACCGCTTGACCGTACATACTAAAAGCAAGATTCAGAAGAGCAATTTATCTGCTTGGGAGACTAGGTGACCCGGTCTTAGCAAATCCTGCTCCTCGGTATCTTCCGCTCTTGCTCGGAGCTTTAGGGGTTAATGTAGACAGTACAGTATATAGTACACATTGAGGTCTGGAACACTTTCTTCCTCGTATTTGTATATTAGAGCTACTTGAGGGCTTAGCTAAAGATGCGTCACTACAAAACTTTATTAAACCAAACATCTAATGCAAGTAATTGTATGGTTTTAGTATACCTAGATTCGTATTAATGATAAGGAACAATGTTTCTCAGCTGATTGCGATAAGTATTCTAGTTGTGCGAAGCTTTTGGGAGCATATTATTCTGAGCTAGGTGTGGGCAAAGTAACGATCATGTCTTTTACCTTCAAAAGGCTAAGAAAAGCATGCTAGTAGTGTCCGATTAATTTCAAGAAAAGGCGCCTATGTGCAGGTGGCTCTCTGGAGATTCGTATTAATATTTTTATCAAAAAACGCACTCGACCTCATCTAATATCTATATTTCTGGTCGCTGCAGTGCTGGAAAGCAGAAGACCTCTGAGCTACTTTTGCTTCTTCTTACGCCACTTCCAAATCACCTCTCCACCCAGGCTGATTTTTCTTCCGTTCCCCCGGTCCCTCAGTCTTGAACTGATACCCTCTCACCCTCGGTCCCTGCCCACTCTTCTCTGGTAACTCAGTCTCATAATACCTCGCAAAGGTCTCACAATCCGCTTCGAAAGTTCCCTGTCCAATGCTCTCACGGATGAACGAGAAGAACTTGGAAAGGACATAATGGTTGTGGATTTGAAGTAAAGCCCAACCAAGCATCTCTTTGGCAGAGAGGAGATGTTGGATGAATGAACGGTGGTGGATGGTGCATGCATAGCACTCGCAAGATACCGACAACGGATCCAAAGATGTGCTGTGTTCTGTGGACCACATGTCTACTCCGAGAGATTTCGTTGTACTTCCATTTCCAGTGGAGACGACCTCTGAGGATGTTGAGGGAGATGGGAATTGGAAATCCAGGGCAATTCCAGCATCGGTGGCGAATCCAATGAATGGTATTGTGAAAATGTCCATTCCGAGAGATATTTGACGTAGGATTTCGTGAGGTGATGATGGTTCATCGAGGGAAAGTCGAGGAAGCTGCGCCACAGCTGTGGTGGCCGGGATATCAGGAAGAAGATTTGAGTCGTAGAATGCAAGACCTCGAATCTTGTCCGCAAATTCATCCAGATTATTTAGATACTCAAATTGACTGTGGTACTCGATTGGTAAAATGGGTGCGAAGACTGCCGATTTTGTATGCTCAGATGCGAGGAGTTCTGTTAACCATCCTTCTGTTCTGTCTCCCATCTTATCGATGCGTTTTACTCCGGGAACAGTACCATGAGGAACATCAGCAAGGCCAATGATGATGTCCGGGTGGAGTTTCTCAGCGTAATTGACATATGCTTTGTTTGACAAGGATTGAAATCCTGTCGAGGTGAATATCGAGATTGCGGTGTTTGTGTTGCCAATTGGAGCAATCACAGCTGGCGTTCGACGAGGTGCCAGAAGCGTGATGAATGAAGTGGGAAGACAAGTGAAGGTATGGAGAGGAGCATTGCCAGGGACATTCATGATTGGTGGGGTACCAATGGTTGCTCTCTCTATGACTGTCAAATGTCAGTCTCTGGACGAAGGAGCTTATTGGCTAGAAAAACTCACAATCCTCTAATGCAACATGGACTCCGCCTGGCTGTGTATGCTCTCCGATCACATCGGGTGTCAGATGCGGAACGACGCCTCTGGAACTGATAGAGAAAAAGTTTGGAGTATCAATGTCATTGCGACCGGCTATTGATAGTCTCCCCAGCCTTGCATCGGGAGTGCTGTATTCAATAGCACCTGAAATCTCAAAGCTGAGGCTTGAAGCTCGACTTGAGCCTTCAATATCTTCTGATATCGTCATCTCAAGGATCTAAGCAGAGGACGGAAATAAGAAATGCTTGGGGATTCCCGAGCGCTTACAAACGCTGGTGACCTTGAATATGTCGATCGAAGGTATTCTGTTTTGTCTATATGTAGAATAATTTGATAGCTGATTCCAGGTTAGCGCCAAGATATTCAAAACGTGATCGCGGACCTTGATTCTTTTCTTCGAATGAATCCATATAGTACATGGAAAAAATGCAAAGACCTTATGCAGAAATACAAAACTTCCTGACACATGCCCTGGGCGCTCATAATATACCAATTATTAAGGGGGTCTTGGGTGTTTCCACCCGCCAGTTCCTTCATCCAGTCACGTGGCTACAGTAACAAAGCCTAACTGCCAAGTTCATGCATTGTTACAGAAGAACCTCGCTACTGGTAGAGGCACTCTACCACAACAAGCGACGCTTTGTGTGACGGGAAGATTCCTGTTCTACAAAAATAATGATTGGTTTCCCAAGACCAATTACCTTTTTGTTAATAGAAGTTGTTGTCCAACCTTTAGGACTTACTAGAAGATCTAAACAGGTGCCCAATGATGCACCAAGAAAGAACGATCTCATCGTATTTCTACTTAAAGAGCATCTTCATAGTACATAATTGAAAAGTCTCGCAAGCCCCGGATCGAGCATGTGCGTGATTGACCCAAGGCTTGACTTCATGGCTTCCTACGGAGAAGGTAAAAATTGGACTCCTACATTGATTCCTCTGTCTTAATTTAAATTCCACACATATGCTGAAATTACAAAAAGCAACAATACGACGAATTTTCCAGAATGATTACTAATCGGATTCTTGTTAAAAACAACACCAAGACGCGAAAGAATAAGGATACCCTCGTTCACAGTATACTCTTAAAGCTTTCGAGCCTCGGATATTCTATCCGATGGAGGGATTCCTTCGTGCTCTCCGGGCTTTTCGAGTCATGTTCTGAATATCCTGAGGTAAATTCTTTTCTTGTTTGTGCATAATTTCATCTATTTTAACAAGTCGTAACTTTATACAAGGATACCTAATATATTATACTAAGAAAAGAAAACCCCATGACAAAAAACAGACTTTCATGAATATCAATCAACTCAGGTACACCGGCCCTTCATATATTGATTGAGTGCAACCAAACCTCCTGTTCCCGTCGCGCCGAGAAAGTGCTAACCCTCAAAATATCCTGCATCTGCTTATTGCTAACAGTCATAACCGAACGGCTGACAAAGAATCGGACACCCTCAGTACATGGAGGACTCGTTAGACTACCATCATAAGTCCAGAACTCGGCAAAGTTTCCAGCCTCCCGAATAGCCAATGACAGATCCATGTTTGGAACGGGGATACTATCAGTAGAATTGAAGGATGGACAAGGAGCATTGATGAATTGCGAGGCGAAAGCAGAGTCGACGTTCCCTGGGTCAATGAGAATAGCAACCACAGCGCGCGTGATGTTGTAGGCATTGGCGTGGACGAGATGGAGTTCGGCTTTTGAACGTTCGCCTTGAATGCTATGGTCGGCGGGGGCATGGATGTGCCATCCTTGGAAGTAGAGTGTTTGGTTATCAAATGTCATAGATGGGCCTTGGGTAAGAGGAGTAGCGTTGGTGTCCGCTGTGAACGATGGGCCGTGTTCCCAGTTATAGACATTTCCTGCTATGGGAGTGCCGTAGTTGAATATTGGAATGTGGACTTGCGATATGCCCTGGGTGAGCGTCAAGGGAATGGGGGATTGGTTGGTTCCCGTTTGGCAGGCTGTATAATCTGTGCGGTTTATAAGAATTGGGAGAGTGTTGAATTTCATAGAGATATACGTACCTGCATTGATCTTTCCCCAGTTGAAAGAGGTCTCATAGCTCCAGTCCTTGTCATGCGCTGCTCGCTTGCCAATGACGTTGTTATGGATTCCAAAGTCATGTCGAGGACAAGCGAGAGTGAATTTGATAACAGCAAGAGCTAAGAGTGAATAATACATGAAGCTGATTGAGAATTTTCGTTTCAAATGAGTGTAAGTAGAACTTGGAAAGCTGGTGTCTTGGACTAAAAGCAACAGGATGCAGCTCTAACTTTATACTAAGATCTCGACTACCCAAAGAATCCAAAGAACAACTCAAAATGCGTATGGCATACTGGTACTCAATAATCCCTGCTCATCGTGGCTCATCGTCACAAATTCATGGGGAAAACTTGGCATCAAAACATCTCACCTCACAAAATCTGCCGTCCAAGAACCAGATCTTTATTTATGCCCTCTTGGCCATGAGCTCACCTGGCGCCTCCAGTTTCTTGCCTGTGTAATCGTTAACCTAAGACAAGGGATCCCCTTTTAATGCTTTTTGCCACCCTGCCGCCGCGCTCGGTAACTCGGAGTCGTCTTTTAGCCTTTTTTGGGTGTACAGTAAATAGGGAACCATCCTCCATCCCCGGTTAGTATAGCTATTCCCATCTACTCGTATCCTCAATATCACAGCCTTAATTTCGCAACCTCACGAGCGCGTTCCTACTAACGCGTCGTCACCCGTTCAATGTATAAATACAACACTTTATATGTATGTTTGAAGCGTTCCCGTCGAGGCACCTCAATGTCGGTATTAACGCTGACCTTAAATAAACAAAAGTGTCTTTACGCGCACTGCACATTTCAATAAGGTCAGTACTTTAGGACGTGCTTTAACGACTTGCCTTATTAGGTAAGTAATAAGGAATAAGAAGATCTCAAACAAGCGACAGCCTTGCTGTAGAATGAAGAGAGCCTGGAGCCGATATATTGTCAACTAAGTAGAAACCCATACTCCTCGCTTGAGCCCTGACACAAACTATTCGGTTTTAGACCACCGGTTCGAGTTTTGACGGTACAGTATGTACCAGTACCCGGGTACTGCACTTCGTATTAGAGTTGAAACGGGCCAACCCCTCCCTTGTCTCCAGAACCAGGGCACTTCCTCATCCGGGCAGGCGGCGAGACTCTATTCCATGCGCCTAAGAAGAATACGGCAGGGCTGAGCCTACGAAGTAATAGAGATCGAAGATCCAAGACATCAACTCCGACCGCCAAAGGCCGGCAGTGACTCCGTAAATCCCGCCGAAAACGAGCATGACATGATGATTGGACAAAAATAAATATAGGATCTTACGGCTGCCGAAAATATTCCTCGATAATTATCGTAACGAGCATCAATTCTTGAATAACTACCAAAGGGCAATTCATGGAATGATAATCTTCCCGTCGAAGAATCGAGGACCATCACTGTGCATCTCGCTAAAGGTAAGTCTTACGCTAATTCAGAAAGAAACGCAACTTTAAAGTTAACCCTAACCTTCCTACTGTACTACAACAGCCTCAACATGAGATTGTGTAGATTCGTCATTTAACCGTGTCACCCTCAGGTACAAATCCTTAAATAGTACCCACGTTTCCAAGACGTCACGCCCCACGTCACTTCTACCCTCAATTGCTCGTACCCCTCTTTTCAAATCGCATTTTGTGAGTGACCACACATCACAACGCTAGCTCTATTTTGTAGGTGGCAAGAAGTTCAGTATATCATCACAAAACTACTTCTAAAGGGTCTGGACAACTCGCGTCTCATCCTCCCGGGTATACGCATTTCTCAGGATTCTTGGAGATACCAGTCGTGGGAGGGATTTCCGTTAGGGTTCCTCCACACCCTACCTATTCTTTCCTACTTCGTAGACCAAAGGAAGCCATCCAAGCTATCTAGGTAACTTTGGCTGGCTGATACTTGTAGCTGACAATTATCAGAATTAATTTTGGATGGCATGATTTGTCTAGATAGCTTATACTGGCTTCCAAACAAAACCACTTCTGGACCACTTTCAATCAGATGACTTTACACTTCAGCCCTACTCCTCTCACTAGCCCCCAGAAAAGAACCCGCCGTTCCCTTTCGCTTTTACTTATACGATTCCGCTGCCGATTCCTCGATCTTCTCTTGGAGTCTCTAGCTCTGGACTGTCTGTGAAATCAGACAATGAAAATCTGCAATCTTTCGTTTACGAACCGCCGATTCCAATTTGTGGGGGTTTGTTACAAGCACTCTTGGCACTCTTTGACGTGAGGTCATTAGGGATTCTTGTTGCATAGCAATGGAGGTCTGCGGATCCCCGGACGGAGTTTCTGGAAAAGGTTTAAATGGACTGATCTCCAGAAATCTAGCTCGGATATACGAAGTATAAAAGGTTAATTCACATACCATACCATCTTTCAATTAGAATTTCCACTAAATAGCGGGTCTTGGAGTGCCGAGGGTGTTAGTAAAGCACTCCCGCTCTTTATTTAAAGATATACGAGTACCTTTTCTGGAAACTTCGCCCGGAGAAAGATGCTTGGTAATGCAAGATTTTCTCCGATGAAATTGTTCTAGACCGACTCATGGGGTTGTACCATCGGACCATCCCTTTTATCTCGTCGTAACGTAAATTTTATTTATGTTCCGATTTTGACTTCAAGGCATCCACTTTTAGTCTTGGCATGTAAGCTTATTTCTACAAATAGTGTTGCCTATTTTCCGGCACAAGTTTAAGGGACATATCAATTACTCGTGCATGTATCACCCAAAAGGAGCCGTAAAGGGGACGAAAGTCGAGTGAGAAAAGGGGGAAAGAAAGGTATGGATGTGAACGATTATCTGTAGCTAAGGATTAGAAAAATTATTGCTAACCACCTTCTTATCCACTTGCAAAAGTTGACTTAAGACCAATTGTCTAAACCATATACGATGACATAAGATACTAAGGTTCGAACACAATGCTATTTCTATCAATTTCGCCTTGTGATTAACCCTTAATATTATGAACGCAAGGGTATAAAAGTAGCGAGACAGCATGACCGAAGAGCAGGACTCGAGCAATAATAGCAATTATGGTTAATCAGTTTTTGGTAGTGTTTCATAGTATTCTGGCGTTTCTTATAATAGCATTGTAAATTACTTGACTTGTCTTTTATAACTAAGCTTTAAAAACAAGCCTTTTCAAGACAATTATTACTTGAAGATTGAATCGTAAACCGAAAAATCGGAATGTACTTACGCTACGATGTGGGGATACTTCTTGCAACATCGTACTTCATATATAAATAATGGAAACCCGAATTTTTATAGCAACATAAGCCACACATTAATTAAATTCTTCACACTATAATGTCTTTCTCTCCTATGCTGTAACTCGTATCTTCGCGCTCTCAAAATATCTCGTATCTTCGTTCTAATTAGTCGCTCACGGGGCAGAGAACATTGGACTCTTGAGGGGCTATGTCTCTTGGAATTCTTAAAAATGACTTGTTATCCTCCGCTACTTCTCGCGTGGGACCGTTTCACTCTAACCATCACACTTCGCATATAAAGAAAAAAGGGGAAAGCATCCTGTAATCTTACCCAGTTAGTTATCTTTGCTGAAATATTTAACATTAATTGCTATCATTTGCCTCGAACGGCGACGAGATACGTAAACTAACAACTTCCTAATTATATACCCTTACGCGACGAAACGTGCACCTTGTTTACTCAAAATATGTTTATTTTCTGTTCTCTCTTCTAAAATTCCACTTCTTCATTCCCCATTTCCTGGGAACCTTGGTCTCGTGCTTTGAAAACAATAAACATAAGTATTTTAGTAAACATCGGTACATATGAAATCTTGGACTCTTAGCCTCCTAACCTTCGCGCTTTTTAGACTCCTTAGGAGGACATGGGTGAAGTAAAAAGCCACATGAAGGACAAGATTTTAGTCTCTTAGCTATCTTATTTTCGGAGATTCTTGTTAATAGTATAAAGGGTTAGTATCCCCTCTCTTTATAGGTATTTCTGCCAAAGTGTAGGACAATTAAACAGGTTTAGCACGCTATCTAGGTACTCTGTCCCGAATTATACCTATTCGCACTTTATATATATGTGAGAGGCCAGACCTCGAATAGCTCAAAGGTGTGGTTTCGAATATTCAATTAAGAAGTGCGTGAAGACTACATACATGCAATCTCTTCCTCTATATATAGAGAGAGGAAGAGTTTCTGGAGTCTTCCAAGAAACTGTTTGACAAATACGTGACGTCAAAAGAATAGAGTAGAAAAGTGTAGAAAAGGAGAAACCAATTTAGCAGTGGAGCAATGGCAAATGCTGAGCGGGGACTTTGGTCAGTGCTTAGCGAGGGCATGGCCCGAGCCTCCATCATGGGTTCCAACCCTCACAATATATTTGACAAATACGTGACGTCAAAAGAATAGAGTAGAAAAGTGTAGAAAAGGAGAAACCAATTTAGCAGTGGAGCAATGGCAAATGCTGAGCGGGGACTTTGGTCAGTGCTTAGCGAGGGCATGGCCCGAGCCTCCATCATGGGTTCCAACCCTCACAATATATAATAGTAGCGTGTTAATAAAACTAATTAACAACTTAACGCTACTCGAGTAGTAATCAAGTTAAGTTAAATAAGTATAATTAGTAGATTACGTTAAGCTAAGTTAAGTAGTAGATTTAACTAATCGATTAGTACTCGAGTAGTTATATATAAAGTTAACGTAATTATAATATAACAAAATAGTAGCGTGTTAAATTCGATTAGTTAATTTAATTAGTAGTACTAAATTAACTTAACTTAAGTGGTGAAAATCACTAATTAACTTACTCGCTAAGTAATCGATTAACTTATAATTAACTCGATTAGTGTCGGCCCGATACACCGTAGTGCGCCCGGCCTCGCTAGCCGGACTCCGGCCGCTCGGTCCACGTATCGGGACCGAGCGGGACTTAGCCGAGTGCCCCCCTATTAGGCGTATACTATTTTCTTATATTATAGTCACGTTATATATAACTACTCGTGTATTAATCGATTAGTCAAATCTACTACTTAACTTAGCTTAACGTAATCTAAAAATTATACTTATTCAACTTAACTCGATTACTACTTAAGTAGCGTTAAGTAGTTAATTAGTTTTGTTAACACGCTGCAAAATGGTATATGCCTAATAGAGGGGCATTCGGTTAAGTCCCCGTACGTGGACCGACCAGCCGGAGTCTAGCTAGCGAGGCCGGGCGTACTATACGGTATCGGACTAACACTAATCAAGTTAATCATGAGTTAATCGATTACTTAGCGAGTTAAGTTGATTAGTAATTTCTACTACTCGAGCTAAGCTGATTTGGTGCCACTAATTAAATCAGCTAATCGAATTTGACACGCTATAGCAGATGTTAGAGCGCTCAGGTTTCTAGACTAACTTAATCCAAACATTAAGCCATTAGCTACCCCTTTTAATAAAAGCACAAGCATGGTACCATAAAAACTAGTAAAACCAATACCCTCAAATACTAAAGCCATAAGTGAACAAAATAATTTACATCCTCTCCCCACTTCCCAGATTAATATTCGTCTCTCTCCTTTCTACCTAACCTTATTATTATTATTCTAGAGCTATCGATCCCCTAGACTCTTAGTCTCGGTGGCTGTAGAAGTTACGAAATATTAGGCTCTTAGAGCTCGAGTTATAGAAAATATTATTTACGAAAGTTATATTATTAGATAGTAGAATAATGGAAAGGACAATATAATATGAAGTATTTGCTTTTAGAACCACCTAGGTATAAGAGACAGAGAAAATTACTTCTAATACTTAAGGAAATATAATATAGGTAGCGGGGGGAACCTTACAAAGATTAGTGACCACTTACATTTATAAACTCGCTCTTCGCATAATCCCCAATTGACCAATTCCACTCTATAACCCTTCAAGGGTAAACCCCCATTCCCCCCCTGTCCCTCGACAAATATTAGCATTTCCTGCCATACCACTCTTTCCTCTTCCCATACCTATCCTCCCCAACTCCAAACCTGCACTCCTTTTTCTCGTCTTTAAAGTCCCCTTCTCTATCTAGGACGCTGTCTCATGGCCCAAAAAAGAACAACAGTCATAGTCACAGCCGTCAAGGGTCCCGTGACGATCCAGTAGAACCAGTAGTGCTCTGTAGTGACGGCCCAAATCGAGGGGGATTCCCAGTTGAAGAGGGGGATGGCGAAGAAGGTCTGGGAGTTTGTTAGTTGCCGTAGACAAGGGCAAATATGTAGGTAGATATTTTGGGGATTTCTTTTTCTTTCTGGGAAAGGTAGTTTGTGTAGGAGGGTAAGGGTTACTCACAGCAACGAAAGTACCAGGTAGAAATAGGGTTGTAGGAAAGCGACAACTTTCAGCGCAGAGCTATCGTGTTTATCGTGTTTATCGTGTTTATCGTGTTTACTCGCTGTAGCCAGTTCTTTGGTGTCTTTTGAGAGGTCGGTGTTGATTTTATTATCTTCTTGAGCGATAAGATTGAATAACTATAGCACAAAACACATTTTGATCAGGCCGTCAATTCTCCAAAAAAACTAAAAAACTCGAGTATATACGTACCACCAACTGCTGGGCCTGCAGACGATTAAGAATATTCCAATACACGGCCGCATGATCAGCAGCACTAGAAAGATACTCCAACCTTTCCCCCCGCTTCAAAGTCCGGCTCTTCAATCGCTCCCTCCTTTCCTCTGGGAGGCTCCTATCAAAAACATCCAAATGTTTCAAATGACTACCAGCAGCCATCTGAATAGTCTTCACGCCTGTCTGATAATTCAGATAATATGTATGAACCTCTCCCAGCTTTCTCACCAAAGGCTGCCAGTTCTTAACTTTCTGCTCGTCCAAACTCATTGCCGAGAATCCCGTTTCGCGCTCGATGATGGTTAAACCCTGGTTCTCGCCTTCGATCGTGATTATCTTGTTTTCGAGCATGAGCTCGAGGATGGAGATGGGGATGAGCAGAGGATGGGCACAGGCTGAGTATTGATATTGCACCTTTTCGAAGTGATTCAATCCGGCCATGAAACACTTGCTTGCGACCATATACCCCATAGTGAGATTGGCTACTGGGTCGTAGCGAAGGACTGTGGAGATAAAGCTTTGTAGTAAAGGTGGGCGGCGGACGAAGACTTATGTAAGTTAGCCTCAGTAGTTTGGCGAACCGATGTTGGATTTGCCGTTTGCAGCGAGATATAGAGGTGTGGAATATAGAGAGAACCCAGAGAGATAGAACACACCAAAAGACCCATCATCCTCGCTAAACATCCCACAACCCCCTTGATACAAGGTACTCCTATTTAACTCTACCGGCGGAAGCTTGAACGCCTTTGTGATCTCAACAAGAGTTTTAAACTTCATATGTTCTGTTGTGCTGGGTCTACTTTCTCTTTTGCTCCACTTCCTTATTTGATCCACTTATAGCTCTGCTGCCTAAATGCTTCATGTCTGCCTAAACCTTACACTCTTTATATAAACACCTTAGATAGCTACCTTTTACAATGCAATCAATTCTCCATGACCTTCAGTACCCAATACCCTTTCAACCCACAATATGTTCATATCAAGCTTCCTGACGTCTTCAATCAACAACAAGATCTTATATCCATCCGTTGGCGATTTTCCATCCCTGATTGGGACTGGTGTATTCAACTAAGCATCCATATCATTCTCCTTCAACTCCATCTCAGAAATCTCGTCCTGTATCGAAGGAGAGGAGTAGCGAAAACAGGAAAATCCACAGGCAATTCCACTCATGGGTTCAAATTTAGGAGCTCGGTGTTGAGACCAGATTCATAAGGAACCCAATTTTTCGTAGGGCGTCGTGCGTGTTAGCGGCTGACTACCGTTGTAACGCCATACTGGGAAGGACATGATGAAATACCAGATGGGAAATATTCAGAAATAAGAACGAAACGAATACAAAATGCCAATGACATAAACGGGAGACGGGTTGGCATAAAATAGCAGCTGAGATGAGCGAAAGTCACGACATGAGGCTTGCAGGTTTGGTGTTTCGATTTCCAAGCATGACTGAAGGATCAATTCCCTTGCCTTTGAGGCACACCGTGAATATTGGTGGCTGGTTGACAAAGACACACTGGCAGGGGATTAATTTACTATTTACAAAACCATTTTATTGTGACTCTGTTTACTCTAGCAACTTTTATATTAATATATTAGGACGTGATTGGTTACCACGTTTGTTCCATAACCCTTGCGTGTCTCTTCTATTATCCCCCTTCGCTGTTCTTTATATGATATCCCTCTAGCATACCCCCCTCTCCGTCTATGTCCCCTATTTCCACTCTTAATTCCCTCTATTACGCTTTCATATCACACTTATCTCCACCACGCGCCTTGTCCCCCAAGCATTATTTCCGTATTCAGCGAACCCCCACTTCAAACGCCTCTCATTTATATAAAGATATACGAAGATATTACGGCTAAAGTCTTAGGCTAAACGTAATATAGTATTATCTACAAACAAGAGAACACCAAGTTTATCTAACTTTTCTTTAGCTAATATAGAGGTTATATATGTAGTAAAACTGAAATATGGATTCTAAGAGAGCTTACTAGAACCTAATTCACGCGCCTCTAATGAGACTAAATTCATTCCTTATAGAATAATGAGTAAAAAGGAGATAGTTTAGCCGAGTTTTAATCTTTACACCGATCTAGAATGGTACTTTCATAAGCTAGAAGTATCTAGATCCCTTTCTTATACACATTCTAGCTAGCTAGCTCTGACTTCCGAGTAAGATATCATACCAATCTGTTTCAGAAAAAAAAAATACATTATACATATAATAAGTATATAAGTACAACTCTCAGGTAGTCACCATACCCCTACAATCACCTCAGAAGCCAGCAAAGTAGATGGTCAACCTCAACAGTACATGTATAAAGCTACACTACTTACCACTGCAAGCAACAGAAACTGTATTTCAAGTGTACCTAGGTATTGTAAGTGTTGGTACCATAAGTAACACACAAACCCAAGGAAACACAAAACCTAGAGAAGATCCTGGCTAGAGTCGGTAAATGTAAGGTTGATTTATGAATGTCAAGTCTCACACCCCAAAGACAAATTGCCGGTACTCGACTTTTCGGAGTGAAGGAAGCAGACGACCATCACCATAGAAAAAAGAAATTCCATTCACCTCACTCTATGTACAGCCTCCCTATTTCACAAGATCACCCAGCCACCCTGGCCAAGTAAAGATGTGAGGGGAGAAAAGAAGAAATATTATGCTTCTTTCTACATTAACCCCAGTCATACCACACCTATGTAATCTCAGAAGAGTCGAGGGAGAAATAAAGAGGGGGGAATTTCCCACCCACAAAGAAGAAACGCCATCCTTCCGGTCCCCTTAACGCACCATGGTATCATCGAGTTATCCCCCGTGCCTAAATACGCCATGAACAATGCCCCAAAAAACACCAGATGCCCTTTCCGGCAGCAAGGACCATTCCATGAATGATTTGCTCTACACCACATTGCCAAATTCTTTCCTATTAGCAATCCCATAATTATCCTTGGTATCGCATTGGTTGTTTTCCCTTGTTAACTTTCTTCTTCCTCTTGATAACCTTCATTTCAAGATGAAACACTCCGTGCTTATTGGGTTTCTTAACCTCGCCTCGTCCGGTGTAGGACATGCTGATAGCAGTTCGACAGACGGGGCAACATTTCTTGTCGCCAGCGTGGAGTGCCTGGTGAAGGCACATGCCGCAGAAAAGGTGGCCTAGGGGGAAATTAGAAAAACCCCGTGAACGTGCATTAGCTGGATACATACCACAATGTGTAATTGTCAAATCTGTAGGCTCATCCATACAAATGATGCAGTTGAACTCGGAAAGCTTGACATCTCGTGTCGCCTCCTCCAGGTTGCTTCTCTTGATCGACTCCTCCTTTTCCTCCTTTTCCTCCCTTTCCTCCTTTTCCCTCTCCTTAAGTTTCTCGTCGTAATCGGAACCCTCGATATCAACCAAATCTATGACCTGTGCATCTAATGGTATACTACTCCCTTCTCTTTTGAGGGTGAGTGAGGGACGTCCGGAGACTCGTGTTTTCTTGGTACTAGACCCTGTGGTAGCTTCTTCTGCCCTTCGTTTTCGAGCCCCTCTGGGAACTATGTCTACGTCAAGCCCCATTCGTTCTCTACCTCCTGATGGGGGCCACACCGGAGAGGGTGGGAAGAGGTCGTCGCCGGAGGTAAGATCAATGAAGTTGTCAAGGTTCAAAGATATGGGTCGGCTCGTGCGACGGGTATTAGTTCGTGTAGGCATGCTTGTTACTGAATCTCTTGAGGTGGTATTGTCCAGCTCAAAGTATTCCGATATATCGAAATCGAGGTCGTCTGCGGGAATGAACAGGTCGTTGAAGGAATCGGGCGATACGTTGTATTGTGGTGGGGAAGGTAGCTCCTGAATGGGTTGTGGTATCGCTTGTGACTGTGCTTGCTGTTGATTGGAAGGTGGCGGCTGATGTGCTTCGTCTTCGTGATGTTGTTGTTGCGGGGCAGAATTTGAGGAGACGTTTGACGTGAGGGTGACGGGGAGGGGTGAAGAGGGTCTTGAGACGGATGCAGAGCCGAAATTGTTGTAGAAATGAGGCAACTCCCTCAGCGCGTCTGCGTCAGGATTTGCGATGGGCGCCAGTGTGAGGTCGTCGAGATCGTAGAAAGGATCGATGGTATTGGTATTAGTATCGGTATCGGTATTCGCGGCGGTGGTGTGGTTGTAACTGTGATGTAGAAAATTTTGTGAGGACGAATTGTCTAGGTCTAGGTTGAAGTTGGCATGGTTCGAGGCAGCCGGACCTCGGGATATTGAGCCTGGTGCTGGTGCTGGTGCTGGTGCATTGGTGGCCGCGGTTGCGGAAGGCGACGAGCCAGCGAAGGAAAGAGCGCCATACATGGCTGGGTCAGGCATTGCGGTTGGGCCGATTCGTTGGCGTTGGCTGACTGCGAGAAAATTGAGGTGGGAGTGAATGAGGAGGAGATCCTACAGACTGGAAATGAAGCTGTGAAGTTCTATGTTCGAGTTGGACGGTCGTTGATCCCCAGGCGCCTTCCAGGACCCATCCAGCCAGCCATCGTCAATAGTGTGCGGTTGTGGTCGCCTCATCGTGGCGCATCACCAATCACGGCCCAGCTTTGCCTTTCCGCCTCTACCTAGCCCTGTGTACATTTTGGTGCTTCCCCGGGGCCATTGAAAATGGATTTGGCTCAAGTCAAGTCTTATCGATAACCGCGGCCGCAGTCGTAGCCGCAGCCGCCACTTTCGGCTCCGACCTCCGACCTCCGATCTCATCCCGAAGATGATTCTTTTTTGCAGTAGCGCAGCGCAGTGCATTGGTGCATTCAGACTGCCAGCGCAAAATGTCGTTTGCCTTCGCGATCAACTTCACCAGAAACTCGCCCACACCCGCTCACTAGTGCCGCCTCCGCACAAGTACGAGTATCACACAACTCATCTCAACACCAATATCATGCTGTAATACACACAATACGCACAGCATACCATGCTCCATTCAATACGCGCCGGTCGATCCAGTAGGCCATTTGCGAGTTTTCTACGATTAGCAAAGCATCGCGCCCATCGCCGTCAGGAGAACTTGAGACAGCAAGTGAGATATTCTTCCACCGAGCCCCTCGCTGCGGAAAATGAAGGACATGACATTCCAGAGCTGTTTCCAAGTACATCTTCCTTCTAAATCTTTGGTAGCTCGATTAATGATAATTTGTAGACTCCAAAGCCAGATTCAATCAAATAGGGGTACAACAATTGAGTAGTCATGTATACTCCCAAATCTTCAGAGGAGCCAGCGTGCCACCACCTCAAAATCTCGTAGAACTTTCTAAAGACCATTTACGACGACACGAGTTATTGGGAAAGAATACGGACAACAATCCACCCATATCATTTGATCTTCCCGAACTACAAGGTCAAACTCTCGATGAGCACTTTTACAAACTCGGAGTCGATGCCGCAGAGCCATATCTTGCTCAAGCCAAACAGTTCACAAGAGCCAATGCTCCTCCCAAGCCGCGAAAATGGGTACGAAGGAGTGGTTGGACGAAATACTATGGGAATGGGGATTCGGAGCCAGTGGATGCGCCTCAGGAGGAGATGCTGTGTTTTGATACCGAGGTGATGTGGAAAGAAAGCTCATTTGCTGTCATGGCTTGTGCTGTTAGTCCGACGCATTGGTATGCTTGGCTGTCGCCATGGCTATTGGGGGAAACGGAAAATGACCGACAATTGATACCTTTGGGAGACCCTACGAAGCACCGGATTGTTGTGGGGCACAATATTGGTTATGATCGAGCGAGAATTTCCGAGGAATACGACTTGATACAATCAAAGAACAACTTCTTGGATACCATGTCTCTACATGTAGCTGTGAATGGGATGTGCTCTCGCCAAAGGCCGACATGGATGAAGCATAGGAAAAATCGAGAACTGAGGGACAAGATAGCAACCGAAACGGACAATGTTGAGTTGGCGAGTTTGCTTGGAAATAAGGCCTTGACGGAAGAGGAAGAGGAGTTGTGGGTAGGACGAAGTTCAATTAATTCGTTAAGAGACGTTGCGAAATTCCATCTGGACGTTACCATCGATAAAGCGCAAAGAGAATATTTTGGGGAACTGGACCGAGCAGGTGTCCGGGAAAAACTCGATGAACTTCTGGATTATTGTGCCGCGGATGTTGTCATTACTCATAGAGTCTACAAAAAGGTCTTCCCCAATTTTCTGGGAACTTGCCCTCACCCCGTTAGTTTTGCTGCCTTGCGACATCTCTCTTCCGTGATCTTACCAGTGAACAAATCATGGGAAGCATATATTGCAAATGCCGAGGCAACATATCACAAGCTGTCTGATACTGTCCAGGAGCGACTCGTTGATTTAGCTGAAAAAGCATTGGTCATTAAAGATGATTCAGAACAATGGAGCAACGATCCATGGCTGAAGCAGTTGGATTGGTCAGGTCAAGAAATCAAGATGGCGAAGGGGAAGAGGAAGAATGATCCTCCTCGACCAGCTGCACGACAAAAGATGCCTGGATTGCCAAAGTGGTTCAAAGATCTTTTCCCTAAGAAGGATGGACCGATTGCATTGACAGTTAGAACCCGAGTTGCTGCTTTACTTTTACGTCTTTCATGGGATGGTAAGCCTCTTTTCTGGTCAGACAAGTATGGTTGGACCTTCCGGGTCCCAATTGAGGAAGCCCATGTTTATCAGCAGAAGCAGATGCAAGAGTGTACCGCTTTTGAGGCAAAGGACATGTTTTTGAGAGATGATAGAAGCGCCGCTTACTTTAAAGTACCCCACAAAGATGGTCCAGCAGCACGATGCGCCAACCCAATGGCGAAGAGTTACCTGCCTTATTTTGAGAAGGGAATACTTTCGTCCGAGTTCCCGTATGCCAAAGAGGCTCTGGAGATGAATGCGTCTTGTTCATACTGGATCAGTGCCAGAGATAGAATTATGTCTCAGATGGTCGTTTACAAGAGCGATGGAGCGAAAGGTCCAGAAGAGGGAGCCGAGACCCCAGAAACTGGTTACATCTTACCTCAAGTTATCCCCATGGGAACGGTCACACGGCGTGCAGTTGAAAATACTTGGCTAACCGCAAGCAATGCCAAGAAGAATCGAGTTGGATCCGAATTAAAGTCAATGGTTACAGCTCCTCCTGGCTATTCTTTTGTTGGTGCAGATGTCGATTCTGAAGAACTTTGGATTGCCAGTCTGATGGGTGATGCACAGTTTAAGCTTCATGGTGGAAATGCTGTTGGTTTCATGACATTGGAAGGAACCAAAGCTGCTGGTACCGATTTACATTCCCGAACGGCCGGCATTCTTGGAATTACAAGAAACGATGCTAAAGTTTTTAATTATGGTCGCATTTATGGAGCCGGACTCAAATTTGCTTCTACTCTTCTTCGCCAGTTTAACCCTAATCTATCGGAAGCAGAAACGACAAAGGTTGCCACAAATCTGTACAAAGCAACCAAAGGTCAGAAAACAAATCGAAAAACACTCCACAAAAAGGCCTTTTGGCGTGGAGGCACGGAAAGTTTTGTCTTCAACAAACTTGAAGAATTTGCTGAACAAGAACGGCCTCGTACACCAGTCCTCGGAGCTGGCATTACCGAAGCTCTCATGGCACGATTTGTCAGCGCTGGAGGCTTCATGACTTCTCGGGTGAACTGGGCCATCCAGTCGTCCGGCGTTGACTACCTCCATCTGCTTATAATTAGCATGGACTATCTCATACGACGCTTCAACATCGACGCCCGTCTCGCCATCACCGTACACGACGAAATCCGCTACCTCACCCGCGAAGAAGATAAATACCGAACCGCAATGGCCTTACAAGTTGCCAATGTTTGGACGCGAGCCATGTTCGCACAGCAAGTTGGGATTAATGACCTCCCGCAGTCTTGTGCGTACTTCTCGGCGGTGGATATCGACCACGTGCTTAGAAAGGAGGTGGATATGGATTGTGTTACGCCTTCAAATTTGGAGAAGATTCCGCATGGGGAGAGTTTGGATATGCCAACCCTTCTCACGAAATCCTCTTCCTTCCTTGATCCTTCTATCGTCCCTATCAATCCCCCAAATCTCTCACATATCGTCTACACTCCGCGCGTACCTGTTATGCAGTCCCTGGATTCAAATACCGATATCCATTTCCTCAAAGCACAGATCACAGCCGATGACCAAGAGCTTCGTGGGATTCTAAAGACTCAGAGACAAGCTATTGCAGGTGATGCGCCGAAAAAAAAGGTCGCTAGTGATAAGGCAGTGGGTACTGGAGCTGCGAGGAAAAGAAATATTGTCCCGTACCAGAGTCAGCCGGAGATGATACAGATGGAGCAACCTAGTATCGCGGAATTACTGGGGAACATGCATTTCGAGCGCGAGCAAGGGTTCAAGAAGGGGTTTGAGAGCAAGAAATGGGGTTGGGATAAAGCGGGAAGTGGTGGTGGCAGACCGAGGGCTACTACAAGGTGGTAGACTACCTGAAGGGTGGTTTTGTTTCGTTTGTAATCCCCACTTCTAGGGGGCGACTTGGCGGCAAAGGTGGGATCGGGATGGTGTTGGGGGATCGATGTATGGTGCATGTTTTATGGATACCTACTCTACTACTAACTTTTTTTCTTTTTCTGTCTGTTTTCATTTTTTGGAGGTGGGCCTCATTTATATATCCGTCTCTTGGGATGAGGGCGTCGGTAGCGTAGGGAAGGCGTTAGGGTTCGCTGGGATTGTAAAGAGCATGTATGCATGGTTACGAGCGACCTGATTTCTATGTTTCGCTTCTGTGTTTTGAGGGAAGAAAATTCACTTTTTGGGTGCCTTGATAAGGGAAAAGGGGGAGGAAGGAGAGGGAAGGGAAGGAGGAGGGAGCATGTGTATAAGCTACTGTACTGTACTTATGAAATGCATATTCCAGAGAAGAAATAAATCTGTAAATTGTTATTTAAACGTGGGGATCTCCCAAGTACTACTTGGCACTTACTCCTCTCTTTACTTATACGTACATATCTTCTTGCTTTTTTCTCCTGTCCTCGTGAGGTGTCGATGTGCATTACCTTACCCCGTCCTATCCCGAATCTGGATCTGAATCCTGAAAGTTGATTTGGACTATCTATGAATGGGATGCTGCATGTAGGATTTACTCGACAAGACTGTTTAAAAGTCGGATAGCTTCTTTTGACTATGTACTCGAGTAAGCTGAGGTTACTACGGAGCAGTTATATGGTTTGAGGGGTTTTTGGTACTTATTAAATTCTACCTCGTTAGTATCCCTTACTCGAGTACAGTAGTTGAACTTAATACCCCCTACCCTTTTTAAATAAAAGAGCTTACTGGTACTAGATATAGGGAGTAGTACTACTATACTAGCGAAATGTATTACGGCACCTAGTATATATCTGGGTAAGAGATATGTATAGCCATTACAGTACTCTGTAATCTTCCACACCTCTTTTAGAATAATATTATCCTAGCACCCTCGTATAACGAAAATCGTTAGATAAAGAGCTGGAAAGAACTATTAACTCCTCCTTTAGATTAGATTATTAGCCTCGGACCTAGGTATCCTAAGATCATGATTTCACTTGTGCTAGAATGTTCGTATGACAACCTTTTATCTAGTGTGTAGTGTGTACAGAGTAAGGACTAATCTCGCGGAATTTAGGGAATTTAAAGGATTTTATTGTTATAACACGTGTACTATTTACATTTCTCTCATTTAATCTGGGAATTAGAGGATCATTATTACGGCATGCATAACACGTGTAGTAATTACAACTACTCAGGTCGCTATTCGCTAGTTGATCATCTTTTACGATTAAACTTTGGATATGACATGAGACCTTCATTACTCTACTTATTCTCAACCTATATATCCACGACTCCCCACCTGATGCGTCAACCTACTTCACACGCTCCTCATGACTTATTGAATCCCGGGTGTTCAAATGCCCATATGCAAATCGCTCTAGATTCCATCGCATGGTTTGCTCAAGTAAAAGCCGTCAGAGTCTTCCTCTTCGGTGCCCTTCCCTGGGTCTCTTCGTCCTGCAAGATGAATTAGCACTTATCCCACCACCTTCTCCTACCCCTTTGAAAGAAGGAAATGAACTCACCTCAATAAACCCAGTAAAGGACATCAACAACATGAAACAGTCCGCCAATTCATCAATAACCTCCTGCACCTGTCCCGTCTCCCCATCCACCCCATTCGTCCCAGCCAGCCCAGCAGATTTCTTGAGCACTTCATTAATAGTGCGCTTATTTTCTGTGAGGAAGGAGCGGCCCAGGTTGAGGGTTTGTTGATTCTGGGCACCGCGACTAAGGATTGAGGCGAGGACAAGACGCATGAGGGAAGTAAGGAGGAGATAGTGCTTCGTAAGGGCGTTAGGACCTACGATGTCTAGAAACGGGTGTTAGGAAGAGAAAGAATGGTGATGAGTGAGATGGAAAGAATGGATGGAAAAGAAAGGGGATAACTTACCAACGCCAAGATCGGGGTCGATGACGAAGAGCCCAGATTCTTGGATTGCGTGGAATAAACCGACGCCCAGAACGGCCGTGGCACCGTATCGAGTTTGTGCGATGTGCAGGAGGAGGGCGAGACGGGCGTGGGCGTAGGAAAGGATGATGTCGACGTCTGGATCTTGTTAGTTCATGTATCGAATTTTCAGGAGAAGGAACATACGCTCAGCAGGTGACTCTCGTAGTTCATTAGGAACCTCGGCGATAGATCCAACAAGGAGTGAGATGAAGTTCAGCCGCGTCAGGGAATCAATGATGTATTTTGAATTCTCATGCTTTCCCATCTTGACCAAAGCCCCAAGAATGAGCAAAGCAGCAACTCTGCCTGTAAACTCACTTGCATGCGCATCATCGCATATAACATCGATAAATCGATCACCTGCGGACTTGATGGTTTGAATGCTGTGTCTACGATGGAGGCCTGATCCTGCGGTGGCATCTGCCATTCCGGTCAAATATCGATAACTGATCGCGTAGAAAGTCTGCTTCAATTCCGCTTTCGACCCCAATGAGCTGATTGCCTTCAGCGATACTTGGAAGAGGTGGAATAGTCGATCGCTGACCAGATCTCCCATATCATCTTTATTAAAAGACTGAGCATCAAAGTCAAGATGGAAGATTATGGATTTTGCGAGCTTAGACAGTTCCAATGCCTCACCTACATTATCCAAATTACTTTCGAGTCTTGGCATTATGGTCTGAAGAGTTCTTAACAGAGTGGATGTCCTAGAACCCCGATCAAAGTTGTTGGTTTCCAGCATAAGAAGCATCAACTGGATCCAAGCTCTCAAAACTTTCATGCGAGCGGCGTAGAGAATCTTGGCCTTGTTATCTATTGCGTAAAAATCGAGGATTTGCTGAGCTTCCTGGTTTACCGCTTGGAGCCCCTGTGGATCATTTTGTAGATGTGTATGAAACAGCTCTGATCGGCGTAAACACAGAATTTCTTCAATCTTTACTAGATTTGAAGTTGATGCAGGGTCGTTGGGGTTATCCAAGCAAGCTTTTAGATTGATATCATGAAACCAGGCCAAATTCGCGGGCGCTTCCGGCTCGTTAAACTGAGGCTCCATGAAATCAAACAAATCGAACATTGCCGCATGAGGTCGCATTTGACCATCATCCAGCTTGGTAGATCCCATCAAGGTTTCAAATATCCTCGATTTCAATGAGGGCAAATGGCTCTGTGAAATTTGTCGAAGTTCGGTGGCTAAATACTGGAAAATCATCGCGCGACGACCCATGAACTTGGCCAGGCAGGACGATGATGGTGAAATTGGAAATTGAGGATCTGCAAGTTCCATTCCGTCCCAAAGTGTGCCAGGCTGTATAACATCCTCTTGAATGAACAGCATGAAAAATGTGTCATTGGAACGCATTTCTAACATTACTAGGTCCGAAGTGAGTGGTGACGACCATAATGCTTTGAGGACTTGTAAGGCTTTGTGGCTTAGAGTGAGGAGCCAAGATGCTATGCCAAGCTCATCTGTGAGATTGGGGTTCACTACGGCTCCGAGTATGGTATGGAACAGAGACACTCCTCGCCCAAACGGGCCCTCGCCATCAACAGTCACCGAACCGTCACCGCATTGAAACCCCAGCAAAAGATGGGCGACGGTGGGTTTATTTGGAGACGCCTCGAGACAAGAAATCAAGAAATCAAGAATCCGGATTTTAATCATGTACTCCTGGGAATCAGGACCCTTGTTGACGTTGACTTCGGCCTCCATCTCAACCAACAGTAGTTTAGAAATTTCTTCCGAGTCACTATCAATGGCAGCAATTGCCTTATTTCGGTTTCCTCCTCTTGAAATGCCGGTATTCGAGGCTGAGGTAAGTCTCGGAGACGACGAGAGCTTCTCCAAAAGTTTGAGAGAAGCGACAGTAAGTTCTGGATGCTTCCCACAGTATAAACCCAAGTCCGAGACTATGGAAAGATTGCTAAGAACACCATCCTCGAAGGATGTGAATGCAGCATTGGGAACAGCGGTACGTCGAAAGGTTGGATGGGATCGGATAAGGGGTCTGATGATGTCTAGGTAGGTGGACTGAAGTTCCAAGATCAAAGTGACAACGTTAATACCTCGTAATAGAGAAAGTATTAACGGGGAATCCGATGCAGCAGAACCAACCTCAGCAGGGTCTTGGTGAATGGCTGCAAACAGCGCTGCCATAACTTTATCGTTATACATCCATTCCATCACCCTCGAAAATGGATGCAACAGAACATAGTGTTCTAGATTTGAGGCACTGATCGCAAGGTCGACGGCAACATTTGACTGACTGCCAAAAATGACAATATCTTCATTAAACGAGCCCAAACATGTACCGATAAAGTCAAGGCAAGTGAGCCTCATCAACCTTTGCTGGATAGGCTCGTCGATCTCGTGAATTCGAGAACCAAAGACCTGTCCGACAGCAAAGTCGACATACGGGTCTATACCAGGCATTCGACTTGCTGCTCCTAGTGATTCTGGGAAAGGCAAGCCGTCACGTAAGGCGGTCTCTTCATCATCCGGAGAGACCAAGGCATGTATAAGCTGAACAAAGGCGTTGGGCTCCTCAAACCCAGATGTGAGGCCTTTCAAGATTGCACCCATTGCAGACGGTGAACTTGCGGCCGAGGTAGACGGAGTAATTTTGGAATTCCCAGGGGCATAACCTCCCGAAATCCAAACATCGAGTGACGTCCACAAACATTCTCCTGCTTCTTTCGTTTTATGGCTGAGAAGAGATCGCAGGGTAGAAAAGGCACATGCTCTCAAGCGAGGCCCAATTGCACTGCTGGCAAGTTGAAACAGCAAGTCGGTGATTCGAAAGGAGGGATGCTGAGCCAAAAATGACCGGACGGCACCGCTTTCTGAACAAAGGCGAGTAATTAATCGTAGATAGGACTCGAGCATCAAGGATTGTTCTGGTTCTACCTCAGCAAAATCGCTGTGTGGCTTTCCTGGACGATAAGTTTGAGTCTGCGGCACAGATAGACGATCACGAATCCTGGTTGAGAAGTAGGTGAGCTCCTTGAAAATTTGACTCCATGACAGCGAATGGGTCCTACGCATTTTGCCCGAAGTCTGAGATCCTTCATCCAGGAGAAATTCATGGGCAGCGGTAGCACAAGCTTCATCCTCCGATATTGATTGAAGCATCTCACAAAAAGTAGTTACTAGCGGGGTCGAAGCACGTCTGGAGGCCCAATGCAGAAAACCCATCAGAGCACCATCTCGAACATCCCAAAACCCCTCCAAAGCTGCTTTTGGTCGGCCCTCAAAGACAAAAGATGTAATAACCAGAAACCTTTCCAAATCAAGGTCATGGTCATGATCTTGGTTGAGTTGCCGCTGCTGGTCTTCCTCAGTTCGTAGATTTCGCAGAACATCCGGGAGGTTTGTGATGAATGCCTCGATAAATGTTTCCAATTGCTCCATCAACGCACCTTGAAAGGATGGTAAGAATGGAGCTGGACCGCTCAACATCACAGGGGTTTTTCTCTGCAGCCATTGTCGTAAACCTTGTCGAGCGGGATCGTGCCATTCAACAGGTTTGGCGTCTGCAGAAACACAGAGAAGGAAGTCAAAAGCTCCGTCTTTTAGTGCTTCAGTAAACTGCCTAGAACGCTGATCGTTTTCTGTGAAAATACTTAGTAATGTAAAAGGGAGCACTAGGATAGTTAACTGACCTTCATTTAATCGATTGGCCGCGATTTGCACATCGGAATTTTCGCCATACCAGCCGCTATACTCGGCTAACCACCAAGATCGGAAAGCAGCATGCAAGTAGCTTAGCGTCCACGTATTTTGGTCAAGCTGGCCAAAAAACTTATCATTTAATGTCTTAGCTTCGTCAAGGTGTCCACCTCCTTCAATACCCCCAAATCGTGCTATGAAGGCGCCAAGCGGCGGAATGCAGTGCACTATAGATGCGTCAGTTGGGCCGACAATATAAAACAGATTTGTGTAGATAAACGATCTTTTACGATCTGCGAACGCGGTCTAGAGGTAATATAGGAATGAAGAAAGGGTTCGTGCTCACGAAGAAGATCATCGTATTTATCGACTTTTTTTAGAGTAGCTAGTAACAGCTCGAAATCGACCAAAACAGAATAATTCTGCTTTATCAGATATACCAGTATCACCCCAAGTAATTCGTGTTGTATAACAAGACTTGATTGCTGGAATTCTACCATTTTCAAAAATTCTGGTGATCCTTGTTTCACAACAGATGCGGTATTCAGCCTGTCCGCAAGACCTTGTAGCCACGATCTGATATCTGCCATACGCGAAAGACATTTCCCAGCGTATTGTCTTGTGTTCGAACCCAGAGGCGGCGCAACAAGCCTGTCAACATAGTCCTGAAGACCGGCTCGTAGTTGCTCATCCTGGTCGACATCCCCCGCGTTTTGCAATAGCAACCGTAGGCAGTCTAATAGCCATCTCCGCCTCTGGTGGAATTCAATCGTCGAAGTCGTGCGGGCCGATTCCCCTGTGACGTCGGCTATGCTTTGTGAATGGAAGTAGAGTCGGGCAGCTTCGAGTTCGTCCAGGTTCAAATCCTCGGCCAGCTGCAGCACTTCTTGCTGATATTCGGAATTGATATTATATTGATCACCAGAGACCTCGAGGATCCCTTCAAAATCATGTTAGCTTTGCCCCATGGGTTCGAGGTAGAGGAGTATCACCTGTAGCCAAGCTCTGCCGACTGGCGGTGTTTTTGGCATTTTTGTCGAGCAGGGCCTTGAACTCGGGCTGCAGCTCATCTAGTTGAAAAGATACCCGCTTCAAGAGAGCATCTGGTACATCGGGGTCGGCGATGGCCTCAAGGTCTGCACAGAGAAGACGGAAGCTCTCGCTGCTCAGCGGCCCTGCCATAGTTATTGTACATGCAGGTGGGATGTGCTGGGCGAGCTAAGCTATGCACTGCGGTGTCGTAGCAGGAGCAGTACAAGTACAGAAGCTAGTTGAGATGCGAGAATGGGCGCAGACAGGCTTCAGATGACCGTGGGTCCAGCATAGGAGAAGGCAGGCCCTTGGGGCACAATCATGAACCGTTTCTAGAGGTTTGCGGGTGTTGAGAGGGATCGTGGGTGTGGTTGCTGGGACTTCACTGGGGTTGTTGATTTTGGGGTTGACAACTTTCGAGGCTCTAGCTCTGGCTCTGGCTCTCGCTCTGGGCACTCGCGTTCAAGGTTCTCGGTCGCGTTTGCGGGCATCATAAAAAGTCTCGCCTCACGGAAATCTGGGGAAGGGGACGGCGACGGCGGAGCTTCCTTCACCATCGGCCGACGTCCATCCACCTACATCTACACTTTCAACCTCAATTAACACCGATGCACGTATTCTGTGTGCATCCGCGAATTCCACAGTGGTCTATGACCTACGGACAATTAGTCTCATCATTCTGGTACTTGATGTAGAGATTTCCACGAGTCTCTACCCGTTACTAAGCTAAGCTCCTTCTCCGTTTCCGCGCTCCATTACTATCGACCAACCCCATATACGGTATCATCTACCAAGAAATGGGCATACAACACCAGCCTGCTCAACATGGCTGGCAGCTACGTAGACCACCCCTCTGAGAGGAATCTGATAGACCTCATCGGTAGGTTTTCACTTGGGCCCCTGCATTTTTGTCTTGTGATATCGCATTCCCATTCTGATTGAACATGAAATCAGACGACCTAAGACGCGGTGATTCCAAGCAGTTTGCCTCGACGGTGGAAGGTATGTTCTCTGTTCCCACTCCCCGGTGACCCTATTGTCCCTAACAGCCAAATGCTGATCAGTTTTTCCAGCCCTGAAAAGTACCTTCGATCCCAAAGGTTCAAGTCGACTGTATGTCAATGCTTCACTGGTGCTGAGGAAGCGATGAGCTGATTTCGGACTTAGTGCAAACCTCGATGATAGTGCATGGCACAAAATATACGAAGAGCTGTTCCAGGTCGTAGTTTCCGTCAAACCTGGCTTGGCCAAGGCCAAAAAGAGCTCTCAAGTTCCGGGGCGACTTACACAAATTGCAGACCTTTTACGTGTGATTTTGAAAGCTGGAGTGTCGAAAATATCCGCCAAAACACTGACCGCAATTATTGATCACATCACCCAAATACTCCCCACCTCCAGCGGAGAATACTGTGGACCTCTGCTCCACCACTACCTAAAGGCTTTAACTATTGTCGTGGAACATCAGGCAAATTCTGAAAGGCTTGCAAACGCGGAGAGGTCGAAACAAAACTCGCGAGATAAGGAACGAGTCTGGCCTGACGTTGTGGACTTTTGCTGCCAAGGAATTAACCAATATGTCATTGATAGTCCCCGAAGCTTCGCTCGAAATTCATCCCTGGCTGCAGGAAGAAGTCTCTCTGCTCGTCCACTGGTCAAATCCTCATCTGCTAGCACTATTATTGACCACAGCACGCCTTTGTCAAAAAGCCATGCAGATGATCTCTTGCAAACCCTGCACTTGTTGGTTTCGCCAGCGAATGCTCCCATTGCCCTACGGTACAAGGAGATTTATGCGTGCATACTGAAGTTTTGGCATGCCCAGGGCTCCAACGTGACCCAATCCCACCAATTGATATTTTCTATCATCAACAATATAATTCTCCATGTCCGGACGGACGAGATTGTTTTTACACAGTCGATCGCTTCTGAAGTTGTTCCCATCATCTCTCGATTCTGGCAAGGAAAGACTGTAGCCAAGGATGAGATGCTCAACTCTGTGAGGGATGAGATTTTGATTTTCATGTTTATGATCCATCCTCACCTCGAGCGGAGCATGAGGGATGGAGAGGATGTACTTTCTATGTTAGAGGAATTATCGGATGTGCTGAAATCAGATTACGCGCGGCGTTCGCCAAAGGATCAGATGCAATTAGATGATCTTACCATGGTGGATTTTGGTGCGCATCCGATGGCTGCACCTTTTTGCTTGCAAGCCATCCAATTGAGAGACCATAATACAAAATCCGAGCGGAACTGGGCTCATCTTCAAATTGTGGGAATTGTCGAAAGGTTGATCAACATCGGGCAGCAACAAGTATCCCTAGGAAACAATGACGAGGAGCTTGAAAAACACCCTCGAAAGCGCCAACGGGTCGCAATGAGCTACGATCGAATGCTAGAACCCTTACAGTCTTACCACGAGAAGAGACGACTTGCCGGCTTACAAACTCTACCATATATACTCATCAACCGTCAGCTCGTGCCATCAGAACTTCAAACCATTCTGGAACATCTTCAAACATGTTCTTTTGACAAGCGAGGGGAGATCCCATCTTGGGCGATGCTCGCATTATCAAGGCAAGTATTCATCCGACCAAATCTACTCGGTATCACTTAATCACTGACCGACATTCTTAGTTGTATATTCCAGAAATCAGCCGCAAAGATCAAAGCCGCCATTTGGAAATCACTATGGGACCTTGCAACCCGAGCGCTGACGTTCTCCAATACATGTCGTGCTGCTGCGGTCCTTCTCCACGCCATCCTAGCCAGGCCTCTCTTACATTACCACGATGTTGATGAGGACATAAGTAGGATGGTTACGTCCGCGGATACCAGTGGGCCGGCAATTGTATGTGATTCTGCTATATTCCTCATGGTACACCTCCTGCATGCGCGAATTGGAGAATTACCAAGTTCAAGTCTCTCGACTTCCCAGCACGCAGTTCGATGGCTCTTTGCCAGATGGAATCCATGTACGTTGAAACTCCAACACCATCGCTCAGTCAACTGACGTTAGCCTCATAGCCGATCGGTCATTTGCGGCCCATCAGGCGATTCACGTTCCGCCAAATCACATTGTAGGTTTGCTTCGTGCAAGCCTTGGCTTACATCGACTTCCTATCTTGTCAGAGTATGGAATGCCCTACGGCTGTGTTGCCCAAGCCTGGCAAAGGTATTTAGACTCAGAGAACATCATACAGTATCTGCTATTGTTGGACAACCGCACGACCTCCCCCCTGGCTCCCTGCGGCTCTTGCCCGCGGGTTGCGGACTCTGATGATATCTTATATATTCTTGACACTGCGCATTTCAGTTCCGCACGGAAATTGATGCTGGAACTGCTCTTGTCAAAGTGCAGCGAGCTTTTTCAAAGCTGGAAAAGCAACAGCGCTGATCGTACTTCTCCCGTTTCAACAGACACTTTTCGCAGTGCGATATATGGATGTCTTGTCATGTTTCTTTCAATGCCACATTTTGCCCAGGCTGGATTGCTTCAACTGCAAGAGTTTGAAGCTTGCGTCCTAGAGTTTTCTAAGGAGCTTTTGGCGTTCTTGAGCGATTCGGATGCCAGAGATCCTGTAGGAACCCGAACTTTGGCACAAACCCTTCTACAGTCCGTTCAGCCGTACTTGCCTTCCTGCACATGTAGTGATCTGATGAATATCGCACAAAAATCACCTCAACTTCTCCAGTTTTTCGTGGCTGTCACGGAGAACCTTCGAGGACGTAGGTCTGCTGTAGTTGCATCTTCGGTACTCGAGAATGATACAATGGATTTAGATGACGACTTTGATGATTTTTCGCAGCATAGCCATGCTAGAACAGACACGCAGAAATCCGCGCTATCGAGAAATGTTGTGGGTCTCGACGCCTCACCCGAATCATTTGAAGCTATGGTATATGTACGCCTATTGCTGGTTACAGCTGTCGAAACAACGGAAGATCAGTTTAATTTCGTCCCCGATAGTTTCATCGATCATCTGATTGATATGTCAGACGAAGACATACTGCTAAGCCACTCATTTTTGCATGAACTTGTACAATCAAATCTCCACTTCGAAACATCACACGCAGCTCAGTTACTCGAACGTGTTGGGTTTATCCTTAGTTCCAGAGAATTTGACCGCTGTGAACCCGCTTTGGTCTTAACTTTGGAATTACTTGATGGGCTTAGTCCGACGTGGTTGACTGCAGAGCCCACCAGCAAGCTGGGTTTGCTCATTGATGATTTGTACCCGTGGTTCATCAAGAAAGCTCTGAAAGCCATGTTCATGTCCCCGGAAGCTCAAAAGAAGCTTGCCGAGTTACTCCTTACTTTGATGCGTAAGGACACGGACTATGGCATTGATATTTCCTTACCGTCGGCTCGTTCAAGTCTCTTTGTCCTCTACCAAACGAGCCACGCAGCCGTCAAATTTTATATCGCGGAGAAGCTCCCCAGCATCTTCCATCTATTCTTGTTCGATGACCATGACGATATCTTCAGAGACATCTTGGCAATTCTTGACAACGACTCAAACTGGCTAGAGGGAATATACATTCGCATGTTCGCTTTAGCGAGGCTAGCTTCTGAATGGTCTTCACTACTGCGACGTTGCACATACCATATCTTTGAAATTCCAGGCACCCTTCCTGAAGGTCTAAAACATGCCATCAAAAGTTTATCCGACGTTTCCCGTGCGATCAATCTTAAGAGTTCAAGGGAGCTATTTGCTCTATTTGCACCGCAGATTCTGTATACGTGGCTCGCTCCTCCCACTGATGATCGAGGCTCACCCACTGAGGATACCGATGAACCTCCCATCGGTAATATAAAAATGACACCGTTTGAGGTCTTTGGTTTTTCCACCCTTCGAGACCTTGTCCTAGAATCACAAGCCGAGGTGGTTGGCCTGATGGTGATGAATGACCAAACTAACGGATTGAAAGAAGTCGCTGAGATTCTCGGTGAGAAGGAAGATGACATCCTTGTCAAGTGTTTTACCAAAGTCTTGGCATATACCGTTGCCTATGACACGAGTGTTCCTCTCCCTTCAAGCAGTGGCGAGAAAAGGCAGAGTACCGGGGTTTCCCGAGTCAAAAGAATATTGGGCACAGAACGATTTTTTGGCTGTCTAAGTCTTCACTTTGTCGATATTATTGCGCTTCTGTTCACCATTAGTGATCCTCAAGATAGTCTGGATAAGTATTTGGCCAGAAAAGAGGAGACCAAGTACGCAGCAAAGATCATGGCAGAGATCAAGGCTCTAAGCCCCTCTCGCATAGTTTTGCCTCCAATGCAACAGCCAGCTTTCAGAGCAAAGACTCTTACGGCACAGATACAACACCTATGCGACCGTACAGAGCTTGTTAGTACTGACATTTACACTCCCGCCCTTGTTACTTTCGTCGCCAGAAAACTCGCAGATACCATTCATAAATCCTTGGGCTCGCTCCATGCATGCACCGTCTTACGGAAAGTCAGAACACTAATATGCTTAGCTGGCGAGTCTGCGACCACCGGTTATCCTTTAGAAATGCTGGTGCGACTATTTCGACCATTCATTAATGACCCCCAGTGTGCAGACGATGCTCTTGGTGTCACGCAATATCTTCTCAGCGCTGGGCATGAATACCTCGCTACTTCCCCGACATTCGTCGCAGGCACTGCACTTTCTATCCTAGGATCAATCCAGACATGCCTTAACACAGAGCGAGCGAGCAGTACGCAAGAAAGTCAGTATCAAAGCACTCTTTCAAAGGTCCATGAGTTCCGCACCTGGTTCGGGGCATATCTGGAGAATTACCAGAAGTCCGTATTTCAAAAAGAGCCAAATCCTGGATTGGTAAACCTTCTCCGTTCGGCTTATGCCACAGAATGGGTCGGAAACGCCGGTATAGGATCTTCGGAGAGCAGGCTATTACTCCAGTTATTGCAAGATGAGCAAGCGGAAGTGAAATTGTTGAGCGGACCATCGCGGGAAATTGCGTTGGAACAACTATGCTCAAGATTTGAAGCACCCAAATCATTCCGTGAAGACGCTTTGGGAGATGATAAATCCGCGATCTCAAATGCACTCGTAGTGTGGAATTCCTGTCGACATGCTACAACAAACAAGAAATATCTTGCTTGGGCTGGACGGGTCCTTGGGCGTGCATTCGTAGCATCTGGATACATTGATCCAAATCTTCTTCGAGAATCCGCACTGGAACAACTGAAGGGGCTATCGCCGTCGTCCGAAGAGATCGAGGATTCTGAATTCTACCTTCTGACTGTTCTTCAAGAGCTCACCCTAGGTTACGACAATATAAGCACAGGTATAGCTGAGACCGCCCTAAGAATCACTTTGACTACTAGTGATGAAAGATTGGCCAAGCTCTGCAAGGAGTGTATCTCCCCAAATCTCTTCACCGCTTCGATGTGGGCACAATTCCAACCTCCTCCGTCTGATCTGTTAGCAGCCAAGGGAGGTCAAATTGGCGGTGATCCATTTGATGCAGATGCTATATCTGGGATCAATTGGGTACGGGATATGTCAGTCGCGCTTGCTCGTTCTGTTCCAGACGACACTCTCCTGTGTGCAATGATACCAGCACTACAGAAGATTCCTGGGTTCGCAGAACGAGCGTTCCCATTCATTCTCCACTTGGTATTGCAGGGGAGATTCTCGGGCGAAGAAGTCCTCAAGAAGAGGATTTCGGCCTCTTTTACATCATGGTTCTCTAATAGTGAGAAGATTGACAAAAACTGCCTGAGAATATTGATAAATGCAATATTATATCTTCGGACACAGTTTCTGCAAGGAGACGAATCATCAGACATATTGAAATGGCTCAATATTGATTACATGAAGGCAGCAGCCGCAGCCACGCGTTGTGGGATGTACAAAACTGCACTTTTGTTTGTCGAAGAGCATTGTTCGGTCCCTATCAAATCATCACGACGCTCTTCCGTCAAACAAATGCTTGAGAATTCTGAAATCCCAACTGACCTGTCCCTTATCATATTTCAAAACATTGATGACCCGGATCTTTATTATGGTGTACAACAGCAGGCTAGTCTAAAGACAATTCTAGGCCGATTCGAGTACGAAAAGGACGGCTCGAAGGGATTAGCGCTTCGAGGTGCTCAGTTCGATAGTCATATCAGGAGGAGGAACCCCGAATCCAAAAAGGATATCGACTCTCTGGCAAAGTCTCTCGATAATCTCAGCTTGAGCGGCCTCTCCTATGCTCTCCTCCAAGGACAACAATCAGTTGGTATGAGCGCATCATCTACCGAATCTATGTTCCGCACTGCTCGTAAGCTTGAGGAATGGGATATACCTGTTCCAGGCGCGTATAAAAGTAACGCCGTTGCAGTATATAAGGCATTTCAAACCATCAATACAGCTACCGATTATTCTACTATGGTGGAGGCAATCAACGAAGGCTTTGACTATACCATGAGCCATCTTGTGGGCGGAGATCTAGGGGCAGGTGATCTCCATGGATCGCTTCAGACTCTGGCCACATTGGTTGAGATGGATGAGGTCTTTACATCGCAAGGCTCTCAGGATATTGAGCAGATGCTAGGCAGATTTCGAGATCGTTCTGAGTGGATGAAGACTGGCAGGTAAGGAGTATGTACTTTCGTTCTAAGCAGATTCTAATCTACTTCTAGGTTCGATGATGTGAGCCAGATTCTGTCCTGCAGAGGCACCACGCTCAGTACGCTAAGCCAACAACCTCGACTTCGATCCCTGACAGGGACGGAGCTTGTGGACACCAGGCTAGTTGAAGTACAAGCTTCGCTACTCTCATCCTCTCTCAACCGAGCACATGACGCGCTACAAGAGTCGCTGTCTTTGGCAACTTCCATGACTGACCTAATCGAGCCATGTCAACAGCTATCATTGAACCTCGAGGCTTCTATCCAACTCGAAGCGGCCAGCTCTTTGTGGGATCATGGAGAGACCACGTCGTCAATCGGCATGCTTCAAGCCCTAGACGATCCAACCCTTCTGAAAAAGCAAACAATCGCCATAGGCCGCTCTGTCTTACTTTCCAAGATTGGTCATCAAGTTTCTGTGGCCCGGCTTGAGACCGCTGAAGATATTCGCGAGAAATATCTCTTGCCAGCCTTGGAGGAACTAAGCAGTAAGGTTACCGGAAGCGAGGCTGGGGAAGTGTTCCATCAATTTGCAGTATTTTGTGACCAGCAACTCACGGATCCAGATAGCCTTGAAGATCTCGAACGCTTGAAAAAACTTCGTGATAATAAAAAGGAGGAAGTTGAGAAGCTCCAGAAAATCAGGAAGGAGTCAAAAAACAAGGAGAGGTATAATAATCATCTCGATAGAGCTATAAAGGCTTATAAACAAGACGATGAAGACCTCCAGCGGGAAATTTCTCTTCGGCAGGATTTTCTAAAGGACAGTCTGAAGCATTATCTTCTAGCACTTGCTGCTTCAGATGATCATGATAGCGCTGCTCTGCGTTTTACCGCCCTTTGGCTAGAATATTCAGAAGACGGGTCGGCAAACAACACGGTATCCAGCAACATCTCCACGGTTCCAAGTCGAAAGTTTGCCCCTCTGATGAATCAATTGACCTCTAGGCTGCAGAACTCCGAAGTGAAGTTTTACAAGCTCCTTTTCGCATTGGTATTGCGCATTTGTGCTGAACATCCGTTCCATGGAATGTATCAGATATATGCTGGTGTGAGCACAATACCTAACCAGCAAGATGCAGCTGCCATATCACGAATTGAGGCTGCCAAAAAGGTATCTGATCAATTGAAGTCCAGTAAATCTGTCAAACAAATATGGTCGGATGTAGTTGCCGTTAGCAGAATGTATGGCAGCTTGGCCGGCGAGAAGAACGAGGAAAGATACAAGACCGGGAATAAGATTGACATCAAGGAGTCTCCAGCGGCCACTAAGCTCAGTCACAACTTGAGAAAGCATCCAGTACCATCGCTTACAATGGATTTGCCAATTGCTGCTAATCAGGATTACTCTACAATTCCAGTTATGGTCAGATTGGGACCAGTCATAAAGATTGCGTCAGGTGTGAGCATGCCCAAGATTATAACAGCAGTGGCAGATAATGGCAAAAGTTTCACGCAACTAGTAAGATCACATCTAACTGATCAATTATTCAAGTTACTTACAAACAACCAGGTTAAAGGAGGACACGATGACCTTCGTCAAGACGCTATCATGGAACAGGTTTTTGGTCAAGTTAGTGAGCTTCTAAAGATCAATCGTTCCACACGCCAACGTGACCTGAAAATCCGCACTTATAAAGTCTTGCCTCTGACCCCTATCGCCGGAGTTATCGAGTTTGTACCCAATACCATTCCCCTTCATGACTATCTCATACCGGCTCATGCCCGATACTATCCCAAAGATCTCAAGGGTGGTCAATGTCGTAAAGAGATTCAGGATGCACAGCCTCTATCAATTGACAATCGAGTCAAGAAATATCGAAACGTCACCGATAGATTTCATCCTGTTATGCGGTACTTCTTTATTGAGAATTTTGTCGATCCTGATGAGTGGTTTGTCAAGAGAAATGCGTATACCCGGAGCACTGCCGCCATCTCTATACTTGGCCATATCCTTGGACTGGGCGACCGACATCAGTCTAACATTCTCCTCGATAAATTCTCTGGGGAAATAGTTCATATCGACCTTGGAGTCGCATTCGAAATGGGACGCCTCCTCAAAGTGCCAGAAATTGTTCCATTCCGTCTCACCCGCGACATCGTAGACGGAATGGGTATTACCAAAACAGAGGGTGTTTTCCGTCGTTGCTGCGAATTCACACTCGAAGCCCTACGCAAGGAAGCATACTCCATTATGACAATCTTAGACGTCCTGCGCTATGATCCTCTGTACAGTTGGTCCATATCTCCTGCCCGCATTGCCAAGTTACAAGAGGGCCAAGGCGCGGCGCTTAACAGTACCGTTGAGGGTAAGGAGAACGGGAAGACGGTTAATGAACCTGGCGAGGCGGATCGAGCATTGACGGTTATCAATAAGAAGTTGAGTAAGACACTTAGTGTGCAGGCGACGGTCAATGATTTGATTAATCAGGCCAGTGATGAGAGGAATTTGGCATTGATGTATTCTGGTATGTTTTACTACTACATCTCTCTTTATGTTATTTTCAGGGTACATGAATTACTAATGGATCTGCAGGATGGGCGGCTTATGCTTGATACTTGGGGCTTTACTTTAAGTGGACCTGATCCTGAATGAGGGGTTGCAGATGGGGACGGAAATGGAGGCAGACTTTTCTGATTTTGTGAGCGTGCGAGATACCCTGAATTCACTACGCTTTCTTGCTTGCGGTTCTGGCGGGTTCTTATGCAAGAGATGTAAGATCGATAGTAGTAAAAGGAGTATTTAGCAGGGTTGCTGTTTTGTATTTATAGCTTAGGGGATTATAAGAAAAGAAAGGTTAATAAACTATCTGATGATTTTTAAGTATATATAGTGTTTAGAGGTAGAAGGGAGAGCTATATTAGTGTTAGAAGACGGATAAGGCACTATTAAAATGTAAGACAAATCAAGCATATGGAGCTAGCTAATACTAAAAGGGGGGGCTCTTATAAACGACCCTAGTAAAGGGGAAGCCTCTAGAGTACTAGGTAGATAGACACTAACCGAGATAGGGCGTTAGGTAGCGAAGATAGGAGTCTTAGTTAAGATAAAGGAGCGTACTATATTAATTACTTCTAAAAAAGCGAAAGATAATACTCGACTTAAATGGTAGGATTTATAGTGAATAAGGATAGGGTAGCTTAGTAAGCCATAGTAGGATATATAGTTCGTAACGAATCAAGCTTAAATAGTTTAGTTTAGTTTAGTTTCTACTTAAATATATATTTATACGTAGTAGGAACGCGAAAATTTCTATTTAGAATTAAATTCCGAGTTCTTAGAGCTAACGTTCGTGTTACGGAGTTGGAGGAACTAGGGGTTGATCACGTGTAGCGCAGCATGTAGTATGTGTCACGTGCGCGCTGCTGGCATCCTGTATTTAAGCTCTCGTTCCTCTGGAACTCTCTTCCTTCCTCACTTTGTTGTTCGCTCAATACAGCAGTTTCCGTTTGACTCCGTATTCATCACAGCAAGCAGTGGTTCACTCCACACGGTTACATTACAACAAAGTCACCTCTTCGCCTGGGAAGGCCTGTTATAATATCCCACTTTGTTTATTTGTTTTTGGCTGACGATAATCGATTCGACGACTTAATTCCGACTCGACATCATCCTCAGTATCACCACGTTATACATCCCTGAACGCAGCCGCGTTATATGTCCCTGAACGATGGCATCACCAACCCCCTCAAATGCTCGCGGAAGACGTGCTAACAGGGGCAGAGGTAGAGGTAGAACCTCCCCTGCTCACACGCCCTCACAATCCGCTGAAGCTACAATTGTTGTCCAACAAATGGATGACGAATCCCTTCTAGAAGAACAATTCCAAAGGCGCCAGAGAACTGGAAGCTTAACTCTCTCGCCGCCACCAATTACCCCCACTCAGTACGAAAATATCATGGCCAGGCTCGAATCACTTAGCCAAGAGAATGTAGAGCTACGTGCTTCGCTTCAGACACGTAACACAACTTCTTCAAATGAACCTATTCCTACTATTGAGAAGGGCAAAACAATTGCCGGACGTTCACGCCAGCCAAGTTTAGCCCAGGGATCGCCGCATATTAGCGCGCACCAACGTCAATCTAGTACGCACCAGCGCTACTCAAGTTCCCCCTGGAAGAATGCAAAGCTTAGTGCTAAAGTCAAGGATGTACCTCAATTGGACAATGGTGTTAACCCATCCTTGGTTCAGTGGCAGGTACTAATCAAAAGCAAGCTTACGGCGAATGCAGACCACTTCGTCACTGAATTAGACAAGAAGACACATGTCTTTGCTTGTACTGCAGGGAAAGCCGCTACCTTGCTTGAGACAGCTATGGCAGCGGAAGACGACCCTGAGGATGCTTTTCCAGATTGGGAATCCATGGTTGAGTACCTGATTACCAGCTTCCGTAACCCTCATGAAAAAGCTGATGCCAGGGAGGCATATAAGAGCCTTACCATGGAATCTGACGAGTCATTCTTTGACTTTAAACTCAACTTTTTACAACACGCCACTCGTGGCAAGATCGCAAAATCAGAATGGAAGGACGACCTATACGACAAGCTCACAAAGCCTCTACAAGACGAAATGCGCATTGAGGTACAAAAGATTAAAGACTTTAATGAATTTGCCGACCTTACCTCTGGAACTGATGCAAGGCTCAAACGAGACAGAGCAAGAGCTCAGGAAGCCAGGACTCGTACAAAGTTCAAACGTTCTATTGTCCCTTCCTTGCTTCCGACTATACCACAAGTCAGGACGAACACAGCACCTCTCTTACCCCGCTATTCTACCCCAACGCCTACAAAGCAAAGCGTAGAACGACGAGAGACTACTACACCAGCCCCTGCTGCCTTTACATGTTATAATTGTGGAAAACCAGGCCACATCCGCCCTGAGTGCCCACATCCTAAACGAGACGCAGACTTAAATGAGATCGTGGAACAAGAAGGTGACAGCGATGTAGAAGAAGACGAGCTGTCGGGAAATGGAAGCGCCTAAGAGAAGACTCCTTCTTAGGCGAGTTAGTTGATTTAGCTGAGCTAGATCTACAGTGGTTAATGGGTGGAAAGCATATGACTGTTTGGTGTAACTTATCAATGAATGGATACGCACTTTCTTTGCAAGCACTAATTGACTCTGGAGCAAATGGATTCGCATTTATTGACCAAACCACGGCCGTTGACTGGGCTAAATTCTTAGGAATTAAAGNGAGTTAGTTGATTTAGCTGAGCTAGATCTACAGTGGTTAATGGGTGGAAAGCATATGACTGTTTGGTGTAACTTATCAATGAATGGATACGCACTTTCTTTGCAAGCACTAATTGACTCTGGAGCAAATGGATTCGCATTTATTGACCAAACCACGGCCGTTGACTGGGCTAAATTCTTAGGAATTAAAGCTCGACGACTACCACACCCTGTCTCTGTCTTAGGATACAATGGACAGAGCNGCGAGTTAGTTGATTTAGCTGAGCTAGATCTACAGTGGTTAATGGGTGGAAAGCATATGACTGTTTGGTGTAACTTATCAATGAATGGATACGCACTTTCTTTGCAAGCACTAATTGACTCTGGAGCAAATGGATTCGCATTTATTGACCAAACCACGGCCGTTGACTGGGCTAAATTCTTAGGAATTAAAGCTCGACGACTACCACACCCTGTCTCTGTCTTAGGATACAATGGACAGAGCGGAGCAAGCATCTCTCACGTTCTTC